GAATAGACACGGATGTATGACTGATTGAGATCAATCTCGTAACATTGGACGTAGCCACGTACGACCCAACCTACATTGAAGCACTCGATTGAGCCGCCTGCGACGATTTTCACGTGGAAGACCCACTTCCCTAATAATGTTGTGCTCCCCGTTGTTGTTCATGCTTTCTGGTCTGTGCGGCACCTAACAAGGGTGAATTGTCGAAACAGCAGGCTAAAACGATAAACACGAAAGAGGGGTTTTCACTAGCAGCAGTTGAGATACATATAGGAAACCCTAATTGGGTTGTACTCGCTATAGAGTACCCCACTGCAGGCTAGACAAACATAACATTCTGACACACCCCCATAGTCAAAGTGGGGTATAATCAGCACAGCAAGCACGCAGAGCAGTAGGTTCACAAATACAAGCAAAGCTAGAGGCAGTCACAGAGGGCAAGTGAGGAGGAGGAGGAACTGTGAGAGGAGTGGAGATAGGAGGCGTCTGGTGAAGCCGCAGACACACGGGCAACAGGAACGGCGCGCACGGTGGCTACCGGAGCACTCAACCTCCGGACTACAGGAGTAACTGGCTCCGCGCTAAGCAGCAGCAGGAGCAACAGACCCACGGGCGACTGGCAGCAGCAGGCTCGCTGGGCTACCGGAGTACTCAACCCCCGGACTACTGGCGCTGCAGACGTCACAACGGCCACCTCCTGTCAACCTCCCCCAACTGTCCCACACCCCTTTCACACACTCCCTGCTGAACCACTAGCACCGCTCACACGCCACCCCCCTCGTACCACTCCGACGGCTCCAACACATCCACCCCCCTCAGCGGCAGCTGCAGCAGTGGGAGACGGAGGAGGAGGAGGAGTAGGGGACGGCTCACACACCCGGCACCCCCATACTCTCCACCCCCAAACCCTAACACAGGAGCGCGGGCAGCAGCGGGAGTGGGGCGCGGTCAGAAGCTCGGGACGAACCGCACGCGGGCTGCCCGGGCCGCGCGCGGGCTGTACGGGCCGCGCGCGGGCCTGGCGCAGCCCGTACGGGTCGCGCGCGGGCCTGGCGCAGGTCGCGCGGGCCGCGTCGGGCGACGGGGGGCGACGCGACGGTCGACAGGGGGCGACGCGCGGTTCGACGGGGCAGGGCGCGCGGCGGGATGAAAAATCGCCGCGCGCCCGGAGCGCGCGGCAGGCAGGGGACAGCAGGAAACCGCAGCGGAAGCATTGGGTGGGGCCCACCCACAGGATCGACCCAGGAGGGTCGACCTGCTCTGATAGCATGTCGAAACAGCAGGCTAAAAAGATAAACACGAAAGAGGGGTTTTCACTAGCAGCAGTTGAGATACATATAGGAAACCCTAATTGGGTTGTACTCGCTATAGAGTACCCCACTGCAGGCTAGACAAACATCACATTCTGACATGAATATCTTGTAGACTATAATGGCACGCGCGGTTGCGATCCCCTTGCTCTCCAGGTCGTGGATGATCCAGCCTTTATATTCGTAGTTGATGCTTGAATGAATTCCCCATCGCACGCTGCGGGCCTGTACTACATATATTTACAGCGCGTGTCAGCTGAAGAAATCCCTGCACGTCATCAAGTAGGCGCCTTGATTGTGGCAACAACACCTGCATAAAAATCTACCCGAGATCGGCTTTACTCAAGTGCCTCATGACACTGGAATGTACAGCCTGCACTTCTGCAAGAGCGCGTCGGGGTGCAGGGTGTGTCAGTGAAGAAATCGTTCTTGATGCCGTGCAGGGATTTCTTCACCTGACACACCCAATGCATGTAGAAATTTACTAGAAAGTTTTCAATGAATTCCCCAACTTCTTCCCGGTCCATTTGACGTGGGGCGACACATTTCCTGCAATCGCTGTGGTAGAGAGAAGGTTGAGAAGTCGCACGACGTGATGCATGGCATACGACCAGTAGACGGAGGGGAGAACTGACTGCTTCAGTAGCGCGTGTACCTTCATCATGTGATTGGCGCACTCGGCAATGCCTTGCTGCGGGAGCGCGTCGGGGAGAGAGATGCGGTGCGGGATCCCCTTTTCGCCAAAGAAGTTACGGAGCTCCTTGCTGCGGAATTCGGCCCGCCAGATTTGAGGTTCCTTATTTGATTGTCGTTGTGTGTGCGCTGCGGAATTCGGCCCGCCAGATTTGAAGTTCTTTATTTGATTGCCGTTGCGTGTGCGCCAGCCAGAGACGGAAAATCTCATAGGCCCTGCTTCAGTACTGGACGTTCACTATCCAGACGTAGCCCGCGCCCGCGTATAGAAATATCCAAGTGTAGCTCTTGTCCTTGAGCTCGCTGAGGCCGATGATGAAGAATTCGCAGCACATATTGTGCAACTTCGAGTACCGATTGGTGCTTGGCTCGAGCAAAGGAAAAGTCTGGTGAGAGAGCGCAACTTCGGGGCCATTGGCGCATGTGTGACGCTGTGTGGTGTTTCTGTTGAAGGAAATTGGCCCCGCCCTCGCATGGGCAAAACTGGCTTCGTGGTCGGGTGTGCGGGAGGTGCAGCCGACCTTCTACAGGAGTACAAGAGTTGCCTGTACACGAGGTGTACTAGGGAATCCATGCAAGAGTAGCAGAAGCATCCGCGAGTGCATCACAGATGTCCCGTGCACATGTACAAGTGGCGCAGCTTGTACAGAGGTTCGCGGGTGTTCGTCTGCGCAGGGTCGCGTCTGACCCTGCGCACCCTTGAGACTGCGCAGGCGAATTTTGGCCAGAAATTCGAATGTGCCTTAATTTCGACCAATCAGGAGCTGACATTTTGAAATGTTGACCGAGGTGTTCGACAAAGGTGTTCGACGAAGGTCGTCGACCCGCGACGATGAAGGTCGTCGACCCGCGACGACGAATGTCGTCAACCGGTGATGACGAAGGTCATCATCCTGCAGGGTTGTCAAGGACTTTACCTGGTTGACCAGGTTACCTGCTCGACGAGGTTCTGCGGAGGGTCGCGAACGTCGTCGAGGTTGCTGTGGCGAAGTCGAGCGACGTGGCAGCACGTGGTCGACGTGGCTCATCAGATGCAACCGTCAGCATGTGGCTGACAACCTGCGCAATGTGCTCGACAGTGCACGTCGTGCATAACTGTCTACAAGCACCTGCGAAGTAGGTGCTTGCACATGCGCTTACAATCACCTGCGGATGCATTGTTGGCAAGCCGCGCGGATGCTGCGTTGGCAAGCCGCGCGGGTGCAGCGTTGGCAGGCCGCCATCTGCAGCGTTGGCAAGTCGCGTACGAGCTGCGTTGGCGGACCGCGGACTTGCTTCGTTGGCAGGTCGACAACTCTGTCATGCTGGCAGTCGACCTGCCTGAGCACTAGCAAACCTTGCATGTGATGTAGTCAATCTTTGCCATTGCTTGTTTACATTCTGAACTCTGTATTCTCAAATTTTCCTTTGTGAAACTCTTGCTGTTTTGCCCTGTGAAAACACAAGTCCTAGAGAACACAAACAGAGCTACGATCACTCGAACAACTCGTGCCAACCCCATAGTCTAGCTTCCAGCGTTGTAGAGTTAATCTCCGCAGTTTCTCAGCTCGGTTCTGTCACGGCGCAACATGCTTCAGAGGTGATGCAGTTGTTGAGCGTTTGACGCGAGGGGTGCTCGAGAGGTTGATGCCAGAGATCGTTGGTTATGCGCACACCAGGGGTGCGGAGAAGAATAGAAGACCCCATACGCACATATAAGACCCATTGGTTGACATGTGAGGACTTCTCTGTGATAGGTGTACTCTAGGACACGCGAAGAGTATAGCGTAAAACACTTGAACGGGTGCAGGAACTACGCTCCTTGTGAGAATGGTAGTGTTGGGTGTCTCATATTTCCGACCCCTGTAAAATGCTTGGTCTGCGCACGGGAGAGTGCGACACTCTGTTGTCGCACCCTGTGTGGTTGTCGCGCAGGTGTGTCTCCCAACCTGGTTTGGCGAAACCATGCCCTGGGTCACCCCACGTTGCTTGAACTGTACAATTGGTTTGCGAGGCCTACCCACACCCAACCAACCTTCCCAGCCCTAACTTTTGCTTGGGGGTGTTATGCGACAAAACTGGCTGTTACCGGATCCCAAGCGTTTAACAATTGGTTGGAAAGGAAAAATATGAGACGCGAGCTTTAAGGGTCTTGTATATGGGGGTCTGCTTGTTACTTGCATTCTTATACGAGAGGATTATCCATATGGCGTCCACTATGCTACGGGGATGAAACACTGGGTGCACACCCTCCCATCAGATCTCGACCAGCCAGACCCCGCCGAACCAGCCCACTTGCCTGTACTGAGACTCGGGTGAGGGGCCACGTCAAGCGGCAGTCGGTTTCCATAATCAGTGGTCAGGGAGCTTGGTTGGAGGAGTGGAGGCTGCCTTTCATGTGCGGAGCGGACTGAGCTGTCGGGAGTGTGCCACGAGAGGAGCAACAGCTACGGTGCACGCGAAGAGAACACTGAACTACCCATTCGAGTCTCCTTCCCGCACAGGTCCAGCCAAGTTCACTGCTCACATTAAGTAAGCAGAGATGGGACACCAACCAACCAGAATAACGCGTGGTTGGGTGGGCAATTCCACCCATGTACATTCCCTTCTTGCCGTTGGAAACCCTTGAGAAACGAAGGAGCATATCCGTGAAAATGACCACTGAAAAGGGCATGAGGTGTATATAGTGGAACAAAAAACGCAACAGAAGTGGAGTGGAATGCTCTTGTGTGGCTTCATTGCACTCGTCCAAGGAACTTATCACACTGCTCCCTTGCACAGAACGTGTCCAGTCTGGTCGTTTTGCACTACTGTTGCACATTCGGTCCAGGAAAACCCCAGAAGGTTCCTCCTTGACTTGCTCTCCTGGATACTAATGGCATGCATGAGTGATGACTTAGTAGGAGTAGTCAGTGCTTCTGAGCGTTTGCACTTGCATGGCAACCGACTAGCGGTCCGTTAAGTGAAAAACACGCTTGTGTTTATAATTTCACGGTGGTTGGGGTGAGTGCGACGGCGTGCATGGCGGCGTCGGATGGCTTGTACCACGAGCACGCGGGCGACAGCAATGGCACGCTCCCCGAAGCTGCCTGCGGCTGCCTGCCCAGGGGCGCCGACCATGGCGCCGGGTATGCGCGCATGGACGCGCGGAGCCTCGCGTCGGCCGATGGAGCGCATTCGCCGTGTGTTGGCACAGCGCAGCACGGCAGCGTGGCCAGCGGGCTGCATCAATGCGACGCGGGGCTGAGGGATGGCGAGCGCAGCGCGTCATGTAACGGGATAAGCAGCGCGCGTCAGACAGGGTCGGAGGGAAATGAGGCGCGGAACGGGTCGGAGGGAAATGAGTCGTGGCGGAAGCGCATTGCGCGCATGGTGCACGGAAGCAGTGAGCAGAACGGCGTCGCAGCAGATAGTAAGGGTGGCACGGATGTAAGCGCGGGTGACGACCAACGCACGTGGGGCCCGGAGGAGAGGTCGTGGGATGTGGAGGCAGGTCGGGGTGCGGGCAGCGGTGACGGAGCGAGCGCCGAGACACGGCCGCGCCGCAGCGCCTTTCCTTACGACTGGTTCGTTGCAAAGCGGCCCCACAACCGCCAGCCGCTGCAGCCCGACGAGCGAACCTGGCGGGGGATCAATGCACGCCCCGCCACGCCTGCGTCCTCCGCGTCGTCCGCATCCGCCAGTTCCCCCGCCTGGCCCTCCGCCCGCCCGTCCGCGGCCCCCGCGTCGCCGCCGTGCCAGCAGCCGGACGAGATGATTACGTCAGCGTCGTACGAGGTAGTGGCGGATGATATGGAGGAGGAGGAGGAGGAGGAGGAGCGCATGAGCGACGCGGGGTGCACGGACGACGGGCTCGAAGCTACCACCGACTGCCACGACCAACTCTGCTGCTGCTGGCCCCTCCTCCCCGCCTCCCCCGCTCGCCCCGCTCCCCTTCCCCCCGCCGACTCGCGCGCCTCCGACTCATCCGCGGGGAACACGGAGGGCGAGGATGCGAAGCGGAGCATGCGTGGAGCGGGCGAGGCGGGGAAGGGAGAGGCGGGGCGCGGGGCGGTGGCGTGGGCGCGCAGCGTGGACTGGGGGTCGCGGCGCTGCCAGCTGTCCATCTTCGCCGCCGTGATGCTGGCGGGGCTGGCGGCGGCCGCCGTGGTGTTCTGGGCGACGTTCAGGAGCTACCAGCACAGCAGCATGGTGCGCCGCCCGCGCGCCCTCGCAACACCTATTGCCGCTTGCACTAGACGTTAGTTAGGCACTAGGCACTAGACAGGAGGTGCGCGAGCTTGCAGGGGAAGTGAGGGTTGCGGTGGACCGTTGTGCTTGGCAGTGCTGCTATGCGTCCTCACGCCGCTCGATTGCGTCTCCTCTTTGCCCTCCGCGCGTCCTCTGTCCCTCCCCCTCCCCCCCCCCCCACCGCGCTGTGCGCGTGGCAGGACGTGCTGACGACGCTGTGCGACACGTGGGCGGCGCTGCTCAACGAGCGCCTGCAAGACTCCGCCAAACAGGTGCGCGCCCCGCCGTCCGCGCACCTGCGCGCACAGCATGCTTGCTGCATTGCACCTGGGCCTTACTAACTGTGTGTGGTGCCGCCGTGCCCTACAGGCCCGCGTGCTGTCGGCGCTGCTCTCCATCCTCTACTTCCGCTCCACCCCACCCGTGCTCAACCAGGTGCCCCTCTCCTCACCGCCCCCTCCCCTCTCCCCTCACATGCCCATGCTGCCCTGCCTTAACCTGGCCGCTCTGCCCTCCTCCCCATTGCCTGCATCCCTCTCGCCCCAAACCCACTCATTCATTTTCGTCTAACCCCCCCACTGCCCCCTCCCCCGGGCATGGCGGGCATGGCAGGGCATGTTTGCGGACATCATGAGCGAGTCACAGCTGTCCGTGCATCTCTTCCACAACGTCGCCTTCGCCCTGCGTGTCTCGCCCGCCCTGCGCCCCGCCTGGGAGGCCCTCAACAACGCATCCGCGCCCTGCATCATGTCAGCTCGCCTCGCTGCCCACATGCACGCACGCATGCGAATTGTTGCATGCTCTACATCCCGTTACTTGTGCTGCCTCTGCCTCTACTCTCACTGCTGCCTCAGCCTTGTCCCCTCTCACCATGCGGTTTCGCCTTGTCTGCATGAGCAACCCGCTAGCCATGCCATGACATGCCATGCCACCAACATCTCTATCCTTCACTCACGCCCTATCTCTCACTCCCCCACCACCCCTCCACTGGCCTGTGTGGCTGTGCGTGGGTGCAGGGACGAGGGCAGGGAGTGTGCGGAGGAGCGCATGGAGTATGCGCCCATAGTGTTTGAGGAGCTCGCCCATGCCCCGCACCGCGGCCTCGACCTCTACCAATGTGATGACCCCCTGCACCGCCCCCCTCCACCCCCTGCTCTGCTACCCACACACTCTCCTGCCGCACACTTCTTTTCTCTGCCCACCGCGTTCATGCGCCCCCCACCTCCCCCATGTGCTCCCACAACCCCCTGACGTGCAGTGGACCAGTTGAACGCCACGGTGTGGCGGGCGCGGCAGCAGCTGCGAGCAGTGGTGTCGCCCATCCTGGCCGCCACACACGCGCCCACCGCCGTGCACTTCTCCCCCGCCGCCTCCTCCGACGCACACTTGTTCAAGGTGCTGCCCGTCTTCCGCTCCTCGCGCGCGTACTCGCCTGCCACGCCCGGAGGGCATGACGGCGACGAGGGCGTGGCGAGTGCGGAGGTGGGCGCGGGCGTGGGGGAGGGCGATCTGGGCGGGTTCATGGTGGCGGAGATGGACGTGGACGGGCTGTGGAAGGACATCAGCAAGGTGCGCAGGGGGGGCACGGGCAACTGGAAGCTTGCTGGGTTGCTGCTCACCCGGCCCTCAGTGCTGTGTGCAACTCCATGCCTGCACTGCATGCGCACGCTCTGCCTGCCTTTCCCTGTTTGCTCCGCTGTAATGTGCTTTGCGTGTGGATGTGCGGGGGTGTGCATGGGTGTGTGTGCATGGGTGTGCGTGCATGGGAGCAGGCGGCGTCACCAGCGGCGGACATGGTGTTGCAGATAGTGGACGTGACGGACGGCGGTGCACCGCAGCTGGTGCTGGACGCCTCGCGCCAGGCCTACAACCCCGCAGACCAGGTGGCGGAGGGGCCCTTTGCACGTGTCAACAGCATTGACTTCGGAGACCAGTTCCGGCAGTACGAGCTCCGATGCAGGTCCGCTCATCCCACCACTCCCTCTCTCCCTCGCCCCACATTCTTCCCTTGTTTTAGTTTCTCCCTCACCCACTCCCTCTCTGTCTCCCTCATGCGTCATTCCAGTTGGCCAACCATGGCCATGCGCGTGTCACCATACCATTCCCCTCCCCCCCACACCCCCACCATCAGGTATGCGAGTGTGCCGGTGCCGGTGCTGCCGGTGGTGTGGATGGTGCTGGTGCTGGTGGTGGTGGCGGGGGCGGCGTACCTGCTGTGTGTGGCGCAGAGGCATCTGAGTGTGGCGCGGCGCAACCTGAGGCGCATGGGGCTGCTGAAGGACCGCATGAAGCGCGCCAAGGTGCTGGCGGAGATGGGCAACCGCGCCAAGGGCACCTTCCTCGCCACCATGAGCCACGAGCTGCGCACTCCCCTCAACGGCGTCATTGGTGTGTGCTGCTGCATGCAGCCCCCACGCCCCACTCTCCCCGTTCCGGCCCCTCTGCTCTCTGCCCTTCTCCTTTGCCCGCGATGTTCTGTTCCTTGTGCACCACTCATTAGCAGAATCACGCAGCACCTGCCAACCACATCACATGCGCCCACGCCGAAACGTGCTCCCCCTCTCCCTCTCTTGTTCGCACTGCACGTGGTGCGTGCATGGATGGCAGGCATGATGAATCTGTTGCTGGAGACGCCATTGAGCGCAGTGCAGCTGGACTACGTGGACACGGCGCGCACCAGTGGCAGGGCGCTCGTGGACCTCATCAACGACATCCTTGACCTCTCCAAGATCGAGGTCACCCTCCTCAACATGCCATGCCATGCCATGCCACGCCATGTCATGTTACGCCATGTCATGTCACTCGACACCATGCCAGGGGTTGTCTTCTCCCACTATGCAGTCTTGCTCTGCCTCTCCCACTCTCTCCCTACCTTCCTCTCACTACCTGTTTCCATTTCTCCTCTCCCCTCCCCCCACGCCTCTTTCCCTTGTGCTGTGCGTCCTCGCCTCTGCCTGTCTGCGCGTGCCGTGCTGTGGGCGACGGGCATGCAGGCGAAGCGGATGGTATTGGAGAGTGCGGCGATGGACGTGCGCAGCGACGTGGTGGACGACGTGCTGAGCATGTTCGTGGACCGCATCCGTGCCAACCCCCACGTTGAGGTCGCTGCCTACGTTGACCCCGCCGTGCCCTCCCTCATCTTTGGGGACTCACTGCGCCTGCGCCAGGTGGGTCCAGAGGGGGAGAGAACGCGGGGCATGCACGGGACGGCGAATAGGGTGTGAGGGGGGAATGCAGTGGCAGTGCTTGAAGCTAGGTGCTCCATGCCCTATTATTGCACAGACAAGCTTCCAGCCTTCTCATTCTCCCTGCCCCATGCCTCCTGCCTCATTGCTCCTCGCTCCATGCATCCTTCGTGTGTCCTCTCCTCTCTCTCCCCCTGTGCTGCGCGCCACTGTGCATGGCAGGTGTTGATGAATCTGCTGTCCAACAGCTGCAAGTACACGGCGCGAGGCCACATCTTCATCTGTGTGCGCGCCGTGCGCTCAGACGAGGACCTGCGCCACGTGCTGCTGCTGCACTCGCGCACCACCTCCCACGCCCTGCCACACCGCGGCGGCACAGGCCCCGGCCCCCATGACTCGTCGGCGTGGCGTGTGGTGTCCCCGTCCGCCCTCATGCGCCCCGCGCTCTCAGGCCCCGGCGCCGGCCCAGGCCGCCTGCAGCGCGCTTACCTGGGGTCAGGGACGCTGGGGGGCGATAGGGTGCTGCGCGAGGGTGGAGAGGGGGAGGAGGGCGTGGAGGGCGGTGGGTGGTCCAGCAGCAGGGATGATGACAGTGCTTCCATGTGCGGGGAGGAGGGCAGGGGTAGTATGGAGAGGGAAAAGGAGAGGGAGAGAGAGAGGAGGTGTTATGAGACACTGAGTGGGTATGAGGCGGTGGAGAGCTGCAACAGCTGGGCGCATGTGCGCATGCAGCAGCAACCCATGGCGTGTGGTGGAGCATTGGAGCAGGGTGCGAGTAGAGGGGGTGCGGGAGGGCGGGGGGTGGCAGCATCATCGGGGATGGTGCGATTGGTGGTGTCTGTCGAGGTACGCTGCCCCCTCTCATGCCCCTTCTGCCATGCTATGCCATATCGCACTTGCCATGCCATGCAATGCCACGCCATGCCATGCCCGCCAAACCTCTTGCCTGCACTGCTATCCCACATGGTGTGCGTGACCTAGTTGTATGTGCACCTATGCCCTCTCGCCCTGTGCCCTTCCTGGGCACGTCCCCCCACTGTGCTGGTGGCATGGCAGGACACGGGCGAGGGCATCCCTTTGAGTGCGCAGAAGAGCATCTTCAAGCGCTTTGTGCAGGCAGACGCCAGCAGCACGCGCACGCATGGGGGCACGGGCATCGGGCTGACCATCTCACGGCACCTGGTGCACCTCATGGGCGGCAAGCTCAGCTTCGTGAGCCGCCCTGGCATCGGCACCACCTTCTACTTTGACTTCACCGTGCCCTTCCACGCCCCCAAACCACCCGCTGCTGCTGCTGCTGCTCCTGGTAGTGCTGGGGCAGCAGTGGGTGGCAGGGCAGGGCGAGGGGCATCTAGTATCAACTCGAGTGACTGTGTGTTCACGGCTCCGCCTCTCTCCCCGCCCACGCTGCAACACCAGGACGCGCTATACCAGGGTGCGGCCGCTGCCTCTCTTGGCATTAGCTGCTCCCCCTCGCCCTCCCTCTGCCCTCCGCCCCTCCACCTCATGCCTCCACCAACGCCACCCTCCGTGCGTTCCCCGCTGCCCGTGCACGAGGCACCTCCCTCCACACAGAGTGCGGCAGAAGCAGCAGCACTATCTCCAAAAGCAGCAGCAGCAGCGGTGGCGGTGGCAGGGCAGCATGTGTGTTGGTGCCCGGCAGCGCTGTCAGGGCCATATGCAGGTGTGGCGGCGGTGGTGCTGGACGACTGGGCGGTGCGCCGTGCTGTCATGCACACGTACCTTGCTCGCCTGGGAGTCACCGTGCTGCATGCTGATGCGCATGCACATGGCCATGCCTGCATGTGCCATGGGGAACAGCAGGCAGCAGGGCACGGAGTGGAGGGGGGGCCTCATGGCAGTGCGCGTACCGCTGCTGGCCTGCAGGGAGACGCGTCAGCAGAGAATGGAAGGGACATGGCTGTAGCCGCCCTTGGCAGCACGAGTGCTGGTACGGAGGGTGTGAGTGCGGGTGGTGCAGGTGGGAGTGCAGGGTCGTGGGAGGCGGTGTGGGCAGCGCGGGGCATGGTGGTGGTGGTGGAGCATGAGTGGCTGGCGGACAGGGGCGGGCTGGCCAGGGGGTGGCGGCACCGCGTGGAGGCAGCAGCGGGGTGGGTGGTGCAGCAGTACCGCCGCTCCCACCACCATGCGCTCACTGCTGCCACACCACACACTGGGGGCGCTGCCAACAGCAGCATGGCAGGAGCGGCCGAGCAAGGGCGGTGGTTTGGGTTGCCGGAGAGGTGGCGGGCGATTGTGGTGCTGCGTGATGCAAGGCAGGCAGGTGGGCTGAAGCAGCGGCATGGCGTGGCAGCGGTGCTCATCAAGCCCATCCGCCACGCCGCCCTCGCTGGCTGCCTGGGGGAGGCCCTGGGGGTGGACGGCGCACCTGCTGCCCATGCCCTGCCCGCCCAACCTGCCCCTGCCCTGCACATGCCTGCATCCGTGCTTCTCACACACTCTCCTGCTGCGCGTGTTGGGCTGGACGGAGGGGGAAGGGGAGGGGTGTGCGATGAGAGTGAGGACGGCGAGGAGGCCCCTCTGCTGCCGCTGAGTGCGTCTGTGGGTTCGTCACCGGCTGTGCGTGGGTGCTGCGTCCCACTGGCAGCACGCTCAGGCATGCAGCACCGCAGCAGAAGCACCAGCGCTCTGGCAGCGCTGTGTGGGGCGGGCAGGGGCGCACACGGAGGAGAAGGGCTAGGGGCGGAGCAGGCACATGTGAGGGAGGGTGGTGGTGGGGGCGAGGAGGCGAGTGCAAGGTCTGTATGTGAGGGGCGTGGGGGGATGGCAGAGAGTGTGGTGGGTGAGCGTGTCCCAGCAGTGGCTGCAGAGAATGGAGGCCCCCGGTGGGCAGCAGGGGCGACAAGAGGAGGAATAGAGGTGGGGGGTGGCGGTGTGATGAGCAGTGTGAGGCACAAGAGCGCTGCTGCTGCACGGCTGTGCCATGCTCTGGAAGGCTCCAAGTTCCTCGTGGTCAGTGCCTCATGTTCTGAGTTGCATGCACGCATGCTGGACAGCATCGTGCTGCTCCCTGCTCGCCCCCCTTGCTGCCCCTCGGCCTCATTCCCCTGTCCTCATGTGTTCTTGTGTGGCGCCTGCCATGCATGTGTGCACCACAATATCCTCTCCCCTGACTGTGCTTCGCTGTGTGTATGTGTGTATGTGTGTGTGGGGGTGGGGCATGCGCATGGCAGGTGGATGACAACATGGTGAACCGCAAGGTGATCAGCAAGATGCTGCAGCGCTATGGCGTGCATGTGGAGGCCGTGGAGGGGGGCGCACAGGCACTGCAGCGCCTGCAGCAGCCACATGAATTCGTGGGGGTCTTCATGGACGTGCAGGTGCACTCATACGCCCCATGCCCCATGCCCCATGCCCCGTGCCCCGTGCCCTTGCCCCATGCCCCATGCCCCATGCCCCATGCCCCGTGCCCCGTGCCCCGTGCCCCATGCCCCATGCCCCATGCTCCATGCCCCATGCTCCATGCCCCATGCTCCATGCCCCATGCCCCATGCCCCATTCCCCATGCTCCATCCCATGCTCCATCCCATGCCCCATGCCCCATGCCCCATGCCCGTGCATATTTGAACATGGAAGTGGCATGCCCCATGTCACATGGTGAATGGCCCATGCTGCATGGCAGGTGCCATGCCAAATTTAACCTGATGCATGCGGCACACCACATCCATGTGCATGCTTGTGGCTCTAGCTGTCAATGCTCTGTTCTCGTTCAAACGCCACCTCTGCCTGCTGCCCATGCGTCTGTGCCTTGCCTCCCCCTGCCCGCACCTCAGATGCCGGGCATGAACGGCTTCCAGGCCACCAGGGCCATTCGCAACATGGAGGCCGCTCAACCTGCTGCCTGCACTGCACCGCTGCCCACTGCTGCCACCGCACAGGAGAGCGTGCCTGCCACGCCAGTCGCACTAGCTGATCCTCATACGCAAGCACCACCATACCCTGGGGTGCCATCGCCACTTCCAGCTGCAGCCACAGCACAGCGTGGCACTGTCGCTCCCCCCCCACCCTCCTCCCCATGCCCGCCTCCTGCATCCCCCTGCACGCCCCCCTGTCGCCCTGCACCGAGGCAGCGCCTGCTGGTGTTTGCCCTGACGGCGGACATAGGCGGGGGCACGAGGGAGCGGTGTGCAGTGGTGGGCATGGACGGGTACATGACCAAGCCCATCGAGGAGGACCAACTCGCCTCCGTCGTGCTGCCCTTCTTCCACCCGCCTCCCACCGCCCCTCACACACACCCGCCTCTTTCTGCCGACCCCACTGCTCCTCCCCCTTGACCTGCTGGAGGGACCAGTGCTGCACACACGTGTTGTGCAATGACTCGCACCCAGCTGTAAAAACAATGTCCAGTTTGAGCAAAGCTGCACCATAGGACGCATCCACCTAACACTTAGGTCATACACACAGTGGGTTGTCAGCAGTGCTTGAGCTGCGGCTGCCTTTTTCCTTGCCCACAGCCTCTGCATACATCGCTCCACCAACTGCCCCCATAGCAGTCCCATGAGCAGGGGATGGTACGGTTGTAGATGGGGCTGAATTTTGACATAGTGCATGCAGTCTTGGCTTGGGCAACGTGGCACACACACAATAATTGGCCTATTTTGCACACATAAATTCCAATCTCAGTTGGAGTAGCAGCATTAGACCGACCAACGTACCCTAGTCCACGGGGGTTTTTGACTTAGTGTGGTCCACATCATGACAGGAAATGGCAGTACAGTATATGCTGGGTCGTCACCTATCATACGGTACTTTTGAAACAGCAATGCTCGTCACCTTGTGTGTGCCGTGTACGATGCATTGTCTAAAAACAGATCTGTTGAAAGACTGAGTGTCTGCTGGGATGCAAGGCCTGCTTGACCACGGGGTTATCCCCCACTGCTGCCATCTCCCTGCAGTGCAGCCGCTCTTGCAGCCTCACAACCACGCCCTTCCATACACCGCGCTTTGCATTGAGAACCGTGGTGAACGCGGAGAGGCCCAAGAAGGTGACAATGCCGGCGGTGAATATGCATGGGATGGGTTCTCCCACCTCCCTGGACGCTTCCGCCAGCCGCGATCGTATGAGCCCTGCATAGTAGCTGCAGGTAGCAAGGGTGTGCACGGGAAAGGGGGGGGGGGGGGAGAGAAGAGAACGAGCTAGTGGAAAGAAATCTGTTGCTCCGCCAAGGAAACGGAATCTGAGAATGCGTTAAGCTTGAGAGATGAGTGCCTCAAACACAGGTTATGGGTTGAATTCAAGAGGTGCGAAAAGGAAAGGCCAAAGCGTTATTCCAGCTTACTTGATAGCGGAGATGATTGCACGGGTGAAGAACTGGGCCTGTACACGGCACACACATGGACCTCGCGCAGCAAGAGAGCCCCCACCCCTCTTCTGCTTCCATGGCTTCTCCTCCCTGCCTGAGCTCTGTCCCTTGCCGTGCCTGGCACCAGCACGAGCCGTGCGAGGCAGGCAGCGAGAGTGCGGCGTGCAGGCAGCAGCGGGGGAGAGGCGGCGGGCACGGCAGTAGGCGGTGAGCTTGATGGCGGCGAGGCGCAGCGCCTGGTAGGCGTTGACGAGCAGCGTGGAGGGGCTGTTGATGGCGGGGTCCAGCAGCAGAGCACTGCGCTTGGGGCGCAGGAACTGGCGCAGCTTCAAGGGCACCGCCACAGCGGGGGGGTCACAGAAACTCACTGTTACTGATGTGGCCATGTCCGTGCCCCAGTACCTGCCGTGGCGTGGGGTGGGACACATGATAGCGCGCTCTTGGGCTTGCATGGCATTGTGCACAAGTGCACAACGGCGGGTAACATCATTCAAGGAGCAGAAAACTTGAAGGGAGCAGAGAGTTTGAGGAAGGCAATTGGAGTGTTGGCGCTAGAGGACAGGGAATGAAAGAGGAGGAACAGTGTCCCTTACGCTGCATTGGGCGTGGCAACAGTGGAGGATGGCCACGCTTAGAGCAGTGGCAGCATGAGAGTGCAGGAGGCGTAGTGTGGAGGGGGAGAGCGCACCTGGTGTAGTCGGCCTGCACCTCCAGCGTGCTGCAGTTCACCAGCAGCCCCGCCCACCGCATGAACCGCCGCTTCTGCTGCACCACGCCCCCCCCTGCTGATGCCCACATGCCACTGCTGCACGCATGTGCCTCCCTGGGCGTGGTGACAGCCCCCAGTAATTCCAGGCTACATGGCTCCCAGCCCTGCGCCATCTCCCCAACATCCCCCGCCTCCTCCTCATACACCCGCTCCTGAAATGTCCGCTCGCCGCTCTGCCCTTCTCCTCCCTCTCGCTCCCCTCCATTCGCCATCCTCTTGTCTGCCCCAACCTCCATTGCCTCTCTGCCCTCCTCGCCCTGCTGCTCCATGCACGCACCGCCACTCTCCACCCGCATTCCTCCATCCCTCGCCACCCACTCACCGTCCTCCCGTCCGCATCCATCCATGCCCCCACCAGCCACACTTCCACCTGTCTCTCTGTTTCCCGTCCCGAGCACCAGAGGGAAGCTGACAGCTGTCTTGCTCTGGTTGGCCTGGCAGCCGTACTCTGGGAAGCCCCTGTGCATGGCAGCCACATAGGCAGCGACGTGGGGTTGCGAGGTGGAGATGAAGAGAGAGTCGTCTATGAGCCGCAGCAGCAGCGAGTGGCCGCCCAGGGGAGAGGGAGGTGAGTCATGCGGCAAATGGGGGCAGTTATCCTGGTGCTTCTCCTGCTGCTGCTGCTGCTGCTCCTGCTGCTGCTGCTCCTGCCGCTGTTGGGGGTTGTTATCTTCGTGTGGATGCATCAACTCGGCATCGCTCCCACCAGCCACTCTTTCCTTCTCCCCTGCTCCAAGCATCCCTTCCTTCACCCTTACTGACTCCCCTCTCTGCTCTCTCTCCTTGCGCCTCCCACACTCTCCCTCTTCACCCCCTCCTTCCTCGCCCCCAACCCCCCTGTTTCCTTCGGACTCGCCGCCCTGTCCTGCAATCCTCCCCTGCCCATCCTCCCGTGGCGTGGGAGAGGCGAGGGCAAGAGAGGGGAGGAGCACGTGGCGGTCCAGGTGTGCGTAGAAGAGGGAGCACAGCAGCGCAGACAGCACAGAGCCCTGGGGGATTCCCGTTCGCTGCACAAAAAACTGCCGCCCGGCCCTGATGACGTGGCAGCTGATGTGGCGCCGCAGCAGCTGCAGAATGTCTTCGCGACGCCACAGGGAGGTCAGGCCCTGACGTGGCAGAGGAGAGAAATAAAGAGGAAATAGGGTGCAAGTGTTAGAGTGGTAGAGTGGAAGAGGAGGAATGAACAACCGTGTTTGTTTCGTGTGATCAAATTTGCAGCAACCCCTCTTCCCATCCTCCTCTCTCCACACCCTCTAACAGCCCAATGCCCTCTCTTACCCCCCACTGTCAACAGCTCTCACTCTCCCGTCAACCCCACTGTGGGCGATGTGCAAGCACAGTTGACAAGCTGCCCGCATGTGTGTGGCATGAGGCCCTCTTCACAGCCCCTGCTCCATGTCTCTCACGGACCCAGCTGCCATCAATGCACGCACACTTGAGCCGCACCAGCACATCTCACCCACCTTATCCTCCACAATGCAAGCCCCTGATTGACCCGCCTGCAGAATCCACCATGGCACACATGCCTGCAGCTGCTGCCACGGCCTCGCAGCCACCACTGCTGCTGCTGTCGCTGATGACACTGCTGTTCCCCGTGTTGCTGCTGTTGGCTCTGCCGCTGCACTGTGGCTGCCTGTGAGCGGTAGCGCATTGGAATGAGACACTGCTTCGACAGCCTCCTGTGCTGCAGCTGCCCCTTGCACCTGATCAGCTGCTGCTACTGCCACGGCAGCACATCCAGCAGTGGCAGGTCCCTGTGCAGCACATGCATGTTCAGGCGCCATGGCCATGGGCACGGCTGCTCGGTTGGACCTGGGCGTGATGAGCCCATTGGCTCGTGGCGCGATGGCAGAGAAGTGCCGCACCATGAAGGCTGGCGTCTCAACAAACTCCTGCTCACAGCAGTGGACGGGGAAGGGGAAGGTGGGAAGAGAAGGAGGGGGTTGGAGTGAACAAGGGCTGAGAAGGAGCCCAGTAGGCAATTCATTTGTCACTTGTCATTGAATCAACCATACCTGCACCACCAGTTGTCACCTGCACCAGTTGTCACCTGCACCACTTGTCACCTGCACCACTTGTCACCTGCACGGTCACCTGCACAACTTGTCCGCTGCATCACTTTTCCCCTGCCCACTTTTCCCCTGCCCACTTTTCCCCTGCCCACTTTTCCCCTGCACCACTTTTCCCCTGCACAACTTTTCCCCTGCACCATTTGTCACCTGCACCAGTTGTTACCTGCATGACGTCCAAGAGCTTTGCGTGCGGGATCGTGTCATATGCTTGAGCCACGTCACACACTGCCATGTACACAGGGGGTACACGTGTCGCCCTCTCACGCCACCAGTCACACTGCTGCTGATTAAAGCGTTGCTGTTGCTGCTTCTCCTCGCACGCCCCCTCCTCCCCCTCCTCCTGTTGCTGCGCCGGGGTGCAGCAGGCATTGTGGGGCGTGGCAGGGCAGGGCGTGGCAGGCAGGAGCGCTCTCAAGTGGAGCACAAAGGCACGGTAGCGCCCATACGCATCACTGTACCCAAACACAGATGCTCCCAGCCTGCCCTCCCTGCACTGCCTCGCCTCCCCTTTGCACCCTATCACCCCATTTCCCACCTTGTCGCCCGCACCCCCCCCTCCTCTCCCCTGCCCTCCAAGTTGATTGTCCTCCCTGCTCCTCTCCTTACCCTCCTCCTTCCCTTTACCCACCACCTGGTCAATGTTCCTCCCTACCCCCATACCACTCGCAGCACCATCATCGCCACCCCCACGGTTCCTCTTTCCTCTGCCCATGCACCCACTCTCCTTCCTCCTCTTTCTGCTTCCCTCCTCCCTGCTATCCGCTCCCTCCCCTATCGCCACCTCGCCTTGCCGTTCTTCTTCCCCACGCCACTGCTCATCCCCCACCTGAGCTTGTTTCCTCTGCTCGTCCATCGCCCCATCCCCCCTCCCCTGCATCGCCCTGTTGTAACCAGTGGCACCACCTTCGTCTGGAGTCACTGCATCCACAAGCCCCTCACAGGCCATGCCATCAGCGCCACCATGTGCCTCAGCGCCATGCCGGCATGCAGCTTTAGCTCTACTGCCATGGTGCCCCCCGCCACACCCGCGCCTGCTCTCCACCTGCAGGCACCGGTGGATGCTCCTCAGAGCGCTGTTGATTGGCCCAAACCGCACCACCTGCCGCCTCCTCTTTGCCTCAACCGGTCTCCACCTGCCGTCTTCCTGCTCCCCTGCCTTCCCAGCCTGCTGCACCGCCGCCTGCCGAGTCTCTGGCAGCGGAGGGCAGAGAGGCGGGCGATCCGGCAGCGGAAGAGTGGGGGGTGCCGGCACGTCAGCAGCAGCCCCTGGCATGTGAGCATGGGTGGCAGGAGTTGCTGTGCGAGGGGCTGGAGGCATGGCCGTATTGAGCACAAGCGGGGATGTCTGGAATGGCTTTGCCTTGAAGCTGTACGGCCGTGTGCGCACAGCTCCTGACATGCCCGCCACGTGCTGAGTGGCACATGGGGTGCCGCCCACAGCGCCACCCCCAACAGCCACTTGCCCAACGTCCTCCTCTTCACCGGCCCCTGGGACTGCTCCGCAGAGATCCCTCTGCTGCTGACCCACCTGGGCCACCTGGGCCACCTGGCCCACCTGGGCCACCTGGGCCACCTGGGCCACCTGGCCCACCTGGGCCACCTGGGCCACCTGGGCCACCTGGCCCACCTGGGCCACCTGGGCCACCTGGGCCACCTGGGCCACCTGGGCCACCTGGGCCACCTGGGCCACCTGGGCCACCTGGGCCACCTGGGCCACCTGGGCCACCTGGGCCACCTGGGCCACCTGGCCCACCTGGACCACCTGGGCCACCTGGGCCACCGGCCGTGCAGGGGCGCTCAAGGCCTTGGAAGCAGAGGAGCCCCCGTCTCCTTCCCCTCCTCTTTCCGTCCAGCCACCACTCCGACTCCCCCCCTGTCTACCACCATCCACAGCGTCACACGAGTGACCTTCCATAACATCACGCTCACCTTCGGCACTTTGCCCCTCTCTCCCTCGCTTTCTCTCTCCCTCACTCGCTCCTACCCCCCCTCTCCCCATCTGCTCATCCCTCGGCCCACACTCATCGTGCACCGCTTTCCTCTTCTCGCACCGTCGCAATCCAAACGTCCCTGCCCTGCCAGCATCATCGCTGCAAGGTGCCGCCTGCCTGTCACTGTCGCGCCCCACCGTTCGCCTTCTCTTGCTCATGCGGGTGAGCTCCCAGAAGTGGGCTGCTTCAAGCGGCCCACTGGGGCGCATCGTGAAGCAGTGCAGGCAGGGCGGCTTCGGGACCCCTGCCTCCCATCCACCCCCTCGTGCTTCAGCAATGCTGGGGACGAGAGCACGGCACGTGCACTGAGCTGCGGTCATGTGCCCCAGTGCACACCTGCCTTCCCGCCTTGCTCCATCTGCCACAGTGTTGGCCGGGCGCTCAACATTACTGCCCTCCTTCACCTCCCCACTGCTCTTAACCTCCCGGTCACCAGAAAGAGCAGCAGCGGGTGGCGCAGCACAGGAGCCACTGGAAGCAGCAGTGGCACAATCGATCTCGTTCTCCCTGCCCTTCCAGGTTTTAGCCGAATCAGCAGCAGCGGCCATGTGCCTATCGCAACTAGGCTGCTGTGTGCATATGCTCATAGCCGCCATTGCACCCCCGCTGCTCATAGCAGCCACTGCCACCCCTGCGACTGGCACCGCACCACTGCTTCCCACTATGAATGTGCTGCCTCCACCTGCTGCTTGCCATGTGCTCTCAATGCCTGCTGCCTGGTTAGTAGGGGTTGGTGGGGATGATGGTGATGGTGGTTGCGATAATAGTGATGGTGGTTGCGATAATAGTGATGGTGGTTGCGATAATAGTGATGGTGGTTGCGATAATAGTGATGGTGGTTGCGATAATGGTGAGGGTGGTTGCGATAATGGTGATGGTGGTTGCGATAATGGTGATGGTGGCTGTGATGGTGATGGTGGTGGGAGCGATGCATCTAGAGGCTCGGTGTTCCCAACTGATGCCTCCCCCGACCACATTCCCCACGTTACCTCAACACTCACGTCACGCCTTACTGCCAACCGTCCATCCACAGAGTCCCTGTCTTGCTCCTGTCTCTCCCCCTCTCTCTCACTCACCGCCTCCCTCACTCCCTCATCACTGCCAATGGCCGTCGTACACAACTGCCCCTCTCCCTTCCACTGCTGCGTCTGCTCATGCCCTCCGTGCTCATGCCCTCCATGCTCGTGCCCTCCGTGCTCATGCCCTCCGTGCTCATCACGCAAGTCATAACCACCCTGTCTATCCACGCCTCTCCCCTTCACTGAGTGTTCAGCAGCACCGCCACGTGCCCCTTCCGTGCCACGTGTCACCGCATGCCCCTCATCCTCTTCATCGCCCTCCCTATCCCCACCTTCCCCAGCCCCCTGCCCCACACCACACCCACCGCCTTCTCTCCCCCCCCCACCTCCGGAGGGAGCAAACATGCCAAAGGCCGACCGGAACTGCGCACCCAGCTCTGCACTCAATTGCATTCCGCCCGCCTCCTCCCCACCCGTTTCCTCTTCCCATGCACCTGGGCCCTTCCCATCCCGCCCCGCTGCTCTCGCTCTCTTGCGCGGCCGCCCCCTGGTAGCGAGGGACACGTGAGTGCAGGCAGCGAGGTTCACAATGGGGCGCACCGACTGCGCCTTGGGCACAAACCGCACCTTTGCTACGCCCAGCGCCCGCCCCTCCCCCTCCTCGCCCCCTGCCTCACCGCCCTTGAAGCTGCTGCCTTGGTTGGGTGCAGCAACGTGGTGGGAGGGGGCGGTGGTGCGATGCGAGGGGAGGAGCAGGCGCCTGGCAGCAGCAGGTGTGAGCTTGTGGAAAGTGCTGGAGGAAAGGCGCTCCAGCGCAAGGTACCTGCACACAACGCACAAGGAAGGTGAGCATTGGCAGGACAGCATGCATGGCCTCCTCCCACCCTTGCCATGCTTGCCTGCAGCCTTGGCGGCAACTTGCCCGCCCACCCCTCGCCCTCCTCGCCTGCTTGCTGCAACTGCTCCTGCAGCAATCGCTTCCCTTCTTCTCCCCTCATCCAGTTCTCCTCCCCTCCCCGCCCCACCCTTCAATGCTAGTGCGCGCTCCTCTCGCCCGTGCGGCAGCAGCTGACATGGCACAATGCTCTGGAGAACGGCCCACACGAAGTTGGCCACCTGCTGCTGCCTGCTCGTGGCCTGCACCAGCACCTCCACAGGCACCTCCCTCAACACGCCCTGCCCACTTGCATTCCCACACCCTGCTCTTCTCCTCCTGCCTGAACCTAACGTCCCACGGGGTGCGTGCTTGCGTGAAGGTGGGGTGAAGCCAAAGTCAAGGGGCGCAGCAGCATCCACAGCTGGCATGGCAGCAGCTTCACCTTCCACCGCGGAACCAGCCGCAGGCGCTAGAGCATGTGGTGTAGGTGGCACTGTGGATGGAGCGTGCACAGGTGCAGCACGAGCATGCATGGCGGGTGGGCAGCCATCCACGTCCATTGCTGCTGGCAGCATGGCATGCGCAGGTGCAGTGGCGTCACTGGTGGACACAGCAGCATTGCAAGGCGCTTCACTGGCAGCGCTGCATGCTGGTACAGGTTCAGCAGCAACAGACACCAGTGGCTCAGCCCCAACATCCGAGGCTGCCACCTCACACGCACTGCCTTGACCACCAGCAGCACTGCACGCTGCCCCGGCAGCAGAAGCGCCCGCAGCAGCGGCCTGTACAGGCACGGCAGCAGCAAGTGGCGCTGGAGGGGCGGCAGGGAGAGGGCAGTGCTTGGCGAGCAGGCGAGAGAAGTTGCATGCACGCGCACGGCGGAGCATGGAGTGCAGCAGGTCGAGAAGAGCAGGCGAGGGGGGGGCGTTGAGCAGGTGAGTGAGCCCACGTGCTGCCTGCGGCTGTGGTGGGGTGGCAGGTACAGCGCTGTGCAGGGGCTGCTGGAAGACGTGCTGGTACAGCTGCTTCGCTCCCTCCCTGCTGACGGGCACACGGTTGAGAATGTCTGGCAGGTGCAGGGGGGAAGGGGGGCAGGGAGAGAAGGGATGGATGAGAGGTCACATGAGGATGCGTGTGAATGAGCAAGATGGCAGAGAGATGCGCATGGTTGCATTCTTGGAAGAGTACACACTCTCACGACCACACGCAAGGCACTCGTTTCCAAGCACCCACACACAGCCAGAAGAGCTGTCATCGCAACGAAACTGCCATCATGTGAACCCCACCCCCACTCGTCCCGTTAGTGCCTGGGCCCCCTTTCCCGCACGTGTGGTGCTGCGTGTGGGCTCACGTGTCTTGGGCAGGCCTGGGTGCCGACCAAAGGTGGCGCAGTAGAAGAGTGACGAGCGCGGCACCAGCTGCTGCTGCACGCCTGCCAGCAGGGAGGTGCTCTTTGGTGCAGACAGCACGGGTGGTGGTGACGAAGGAGACATGTGGTGGCGGTGATGCTGGGAAGGACACTTGCGAGCTGTCCCATCCACATCCGCACCCACCTCCTCATTACCCTCACCGCCACTGCTCCCTCGCTTGCCCGCATCCCCCTCTTCTTGTGTGTCAGCCACCCCACGCATTTCACCTGCCACGTGGCAGCCTGCAAGCAGCCACGGCATGCGCGCACAGGGTGGGAGCAAGGCACAACAAGGACAACGATGGGAGAGGCTTGCTCAAGTGCGCGAGCACGCACCGCACCCATCTCTTGCCCTGGAGCATGAGGAGACGAGGAGCAGAGCAGTGCAGGGACGAGCCACAGTTGCACAGGACAGGATTGCAAGTCCAAAGAACAGGGACATGAGTGAAAGTCGTCATCTGCTCCTTACACCACCCTGTCAACACCACCATCTCACCTCACCTCTCATCACTTCCCCTCCCATCCCCTCCCCGCCGCTACCCTCCAGTCCTCTCACCTGCCTTCCGCTGTAGCTTATCCTGCTCCACCACACCTCCATCCACATGACCCACTCTCCTCTGCTGTCTCCACCTCCTCCCCCACATCCTCGCCTGCCCCTTCTCTCCTTCCCTATGGGCCGCGCCTTCCATCACTTGGCCCCTGCCACAAGCAGCTTCTGTCCCTGCATGTGCATCTATGCACCCTCTACCATCTGCGCCCCCCCTTCCATTACCCTCTTCTCCTTTCCCCCTTCCTCCCCCATTACCACATCCAAATTCCCCTCCCTTTCCGCTTCCCCCACTCTTTCGCAACCTCCGTCCACCCCTCTTCCCTCTCTTCCCCTTCTTTCTCTTCTTCTCTGCACCCATGTCAACCCCATGCGCTAAGCCATCTCCCACCTGCCCCTCTCCACCACCGCCCGCTTTTGCTGCCTGCGTGTCTCTCTCGTCCCCTCCTGCCCCAGCCACGTGCCTGAACCATCCACAGATCCCCTCACCCGCACCTTGCTCTGCCTGCCCGTTCCCCTCTCCTCTGCACTCCTCCCCACCGCCTTCACCATCTCCCCTTCCTCCAACTGACGCATCTTCCCCTGTCCTCTGCCCCACCTGCACCCGTTCCTCCTCTCCACACCCTTCCACCGTGTCTGCTCCCGCGCTCCTCGCAACCTCCCTGTCCGTCGCCATATCCGCCCGACCCTGTTCTGCACTCCACACACCCACACCCCTGCCGCCGTCCTTTCTCTGCGCAGCACCTCTCCCGCCTCTCCCCTGCAGCGGCACCACACCCAGCGCAGCACCGCAGCGAGGCCCCTCTCCACCGCCTGCTGCCTTGCGTGGCACCGCGCGGCGCGTGCGCGCCACCATGCATGCTGACGCCTGGCTGTGCGCGGTGGCAAGCGCAGGGGAGCAGCTTGAGAAGTGGGACGACGCAGGTGGGAGCAAGCGGACTAAGGTAGAGCAGCGCGATTGCAGTGCATGGCTGGAGACAGGAGGGCCTGCCACCTGGACGAATGAGGAGGCTCCAAGTGGCACGAAGATGGATGCATGCGAGAGCAGATGGGCCATTGCTGGCACGCCCACCTGCACGCGGGCGATGTGGGTGTGATCCCGGGGAGAAGAGATGCACAGAAGCAAAGGATTTAAAGAAGCGGGAGGAGAGGGTGGAGGAGTGGGTGAATGAGGCGGCAAGAGGGAGTGTTGCTCATGCATCACAGCACACTGAGGAGGAGCGCGCACGGCGAGGCATAGGGAAGGCAGGCGTGGTGAGTACCTTGTTAAGCAGGTGCTGCCAGGGGGGCGACGTGACGACGGCCCACGCCGTGTTGAGCGGGAGAGGCGCGGACAGGGGGGACGCAGCAGCTGGCAGAGTGGTGAGTGCATTGGGCGTGGACTTGGGTGGGTTGGAGGAGGAGGAGGGATGGGAGAGGGTGTTGTTTGCAATGGGCGAGAGGGAATGGGTGCTAATGTGGTTGACCTGCAGGCCGGGCAGGCATGGAGGCGCCGTGGCCCACTACAGCTCACTGTGTGGCGACATGAAGGGCGCAGCCTGTTATGCACGCACGTCACAGGCACGCAGAGGCGTGGGGGGGCAACACGGCAGGGGCACAAGGTCAATGCACAGCACACTGGAAGGTGGCAGACACGAGGGGAGAATTGAAAGAGGGGAGAATGCAAACGCGACACCAATAGGCGTGAGGAGTGAGGCAGAGCCCACCTACTCACCCACCAAAAGGCCTCCCCTCACCCGTCTGAATCCCGCTGCCAGCACGTTTCCACGGGGAGCGAGCTCATCCGCCCCATGGCGCCGCCCATGCCTGCCCGCCCTGCCCCTCCCAGTTGCCCCTGCGCCCTGCCTTGCTGCCAAGCCCGCCGATCCACGCCCGCCCGCACCTTCAGGGAGGGCAGCAGAGCGCCTGAAGTGGCGCAGCACAACGCGTGTCACTACCTGGTGGACGCATGCAGAGCAGGACCAACAGCAGCAGCTCGTTCAGGTGGGGATGATAAGAGTGCTGACAGAATTCGTGACACTCTTCTAAAATCCACGCGTTGCTTGGTTCGGTCGTGTGTTACGAGTGCTCTCATGAGTCAACAGCAAGTTGATGCGCTGCTCTGGAGAGGAATAGCTCTCATTCTCGCACACCACGCTGCAATTACATGCAATCACATGCCATGCCATGCCATGCCATGCCATGCCATGCCATGCCATGCCATGCCTTGCCATGCCTTGCCATGCCATGCCATGCCATGCCATGCCATGCCATGCCATGCCATGCCATGCCATGCCTTGCCATGCCATGCCATGCCATGCCATGCCATGCCATGCCATGCCATGCCATGCCATGCCTTGCCATGCCTTGCCATGCCATGCCATGCCATGCCATGCCATGCCATGCCATGCCATGCCATGCCATGCCATGCCATGCCATGCCCTGCCCTGCCAATCCATGCCAAGACATGCATGGCAGGCAGCACATGTGAGCGCACCTCCTCTTGTGTCCATCGCATGCCACCACGCCCTCCCTGCTCGCCATCCTCGCCGCCACCACCTGCCTGCTCATGCGCCCTCCCCTCCATTCCCCCCTGCAGCAGGGCAAGGAGTGCAGTGCAGTGCTCGTGGGGCATCCACACCAGGGCCTCCCGCACCACCCACTGCACCGCCTCATCCCTCTCCGCCCTTCCCGCCGCCCAACCCCCCCTCGCTCTCATCCTATCTCTCCCCCCATCACCCTCCGCCACATTGTTGATGGCACTGTCCGTGCCCCCCTGCTGCGCCCGCGTCACACCTACTCCTGCTCTCATCCTATCTACTCCCATGCGTTCACACTCGCCCTCGCACGCCTCCACACATCCTCCCCCGCCCTCGTCCCCAACCCCTACTCCTGCTCTCTCCTCCCCTTCTCCCCATTGTGCTCCGCGCTCTGCCCCGCCTGTCGGCGTGGGTGCGTGCCCCCCCTGAACGAGAGGTGGGTGGCGGAGCACGTGGGCGAGGGGCGCAATGCCGGGGTACAGACGCTGCAGCAACCGCACAACCACCGCCCCGCCTGCTGCCTCACATGCTGCCGCTGCTGCTGCCGATGGTACTGCTGCTGCTGCTGCTGCTGCTTCTGGAAACGGAGATGCGGGTGCTAGTGCTGCTGGAGCTGCCGTCGTGGGTTCGTCTGCTTCCTCGCTACCCACGCGCCCTGCTGAGACCCCTCCGCCTGCCGCGGGACATCCGTGCAGCACCGCCACACCCGTTTCCCCCCCGTCACTGCCTCGCGCCTCACCCTGTGCGTCGCGTTCCATGCGCCCTGCCTCCCGCCGCTGCTACTCGCGCGCCGTCAGTGCAAGGTGCCACCACTATCGCGCCACTGCTCTCCCCTCCACACACGTCCACGAGTCCCGGCGCCAGCAGCAGCAGCAGCAGCGGCAGCGGCAGTCACTGTCCTCGCGCCCTCCCCGGCATTAACACGGCGACCCGCCATGACCGCATGTCGCTAAGCACACCGCGTGCGTGCCCTATCGCCGGCTCGCATTGCACGCCGTGTGCCGCGCGCACTATGCTCAACGGCTTACTGGCTCTGCCCACCAGTTCGCGTAGCGTTTCCACTCAAGCCCTACCTCTCACGTCTCATGCTGTCATGCCATGATGTTCTCAGTCCTTCTGCGGTGAAGCTAAAAGGTGTATTTTGGATAGCCGCTGCACTCGTAATCCCGGTCGACTCGATTGTTCTCTTGTGCGAATCGTCTTGATTTCCTAAGATGGGCGGTGGCGAGGCGATTGGTTCGGCTCCATTGGAGACACGAGATCCGCTGTACAGTAGCCCTTGGAGGAGCCAATGGGGTGTGGGGTTGGGTTGGGGACGGTTGGGTGGGTGTCCGCGACGAACAATCAGGTCTCAGCCAAGGACCAACATTTGATAGAACACCAACAAAATGGCTCCTCAGCAATAGCACCAGCCACATCAGTCCTCTCTGCCCGTTTACAGTGACGCGCAATTCACGGGTTAGGTATGCGCCTCCGCCCGCACCCACAGGAACCTAGTTTATGAGTGGCTTTGGCTGTAATGCCCAGGGCTATTATAATGGCGGTTACAAGGCTTTTATAATATTCCAATACAAAATAGTAGCTTTAACTAGCCTTAATAGCCTTGGAGATTAAGATCTTCTTGATGCCTTTGATGAAAAGCACTTGGAGTAGTAGTGTAGGGAGACTTGTGAGAGAGCCCAAAAGGACTTAGAGAAACAATCCCATTTCCAATTGTTTTGTTGGAGTGGGAGGTTGAGAATGAGCTTGCTTAGCTCAGACCCCCTCAATATACCCCTTGGGGAACTATCCCAACCATGGTTTCCATGGTGGGATGGTTCCTAGGCTTGGAGCCTATGTGGCAATTGTGTTGGGTTGGAAAACCCAACTTCGAACCATTCAATGGTTGTGTTTAGGATAGTAGATTGTAACACTTGTTTGGCAGTTTCTGATTGGTTGGAATTCCAACCTTCAACATTCTCTTGGTTGAGTTGGAAATGTTCCAAACCTCCAAAGTTGAGGCTTGGCAAACCCAAACCAAGTTTCATCCCAACCAACTCAACCATCTTCTCCAACTCTTCCTTTGTCGAGAGAAGTTCTCAACAATTGACTTAGAGAGAGATCGATGGTTGTTAGCTCGGTAGTTAGGGTAATACGTTACACTCCTCCCCCCCCAGGTGGCAACGTCCCCGTTGCCCTAGGGTGCTTCTGAGGACGAGTGCTTCGAGCACGGCGCACCACATTACGACCAGGGTCAACCCCGTCCACTGGTTGTGGGCCTGCTCGTAGAGCCAGGTCTTCCATATACGCTTGAACCGCTGCTTCGGTCAAGTGTTCCTCAGGCTCCCAAGAGTTGTGTTCCGGCCCATAGCCTTTCCACTGAATTAGGAACTCACGAACAGTTTTGCGGCCGCGTTGTCGATCACGGTGCGTTAGCACACGCTCGACTTCGTAAAAGAGTTTCTTCTCGATAGCGATGGTTGGTGGCGGTAAGTACTTGCCTTCTGCAACGTACTTATTCAACAGAGACACGTGGAAGACGTTGTGAATCTGCAATGTCGCAGGCAATTTGAGCCTATATGCGACCTCACCAACACGCGCAATCACCTCGAAGGGCCCAATCCAACGAGGGAAAAGCTTTCGTGCTCCCGGGATCTTGAGACGAATGTTCTTCGTACTCAGTAATACTTTGTCGCCAACTGCAAAAACGACTTCCCGGCGTTTCATGTCGGCATAGGATTTTGCCTCTGTTGGGCAAGCTGCAGCCAATGGCGAGCGGACTTCAATGCCGCTTGCTGATTTCCAATAAAGTCCTTTGCGGCATGGATTTTGAGGTTCTTAATCCCATGCGTCGCGGGGGTTGTGGGGTGCCGACCACAGTTCAGGACAAAGGGTTTCTCATGGGTGCTTTCATGCACAGAATTGTTTACAGCGAATTCCACGACTGGCAACAATTCATCCCAATCGTCCTGAGTTGGGCTTATGAAAGAACGAAGCATTTGCTCAAGAGTGCGGTTGGTCCGCTCTGTCTGTCCATCCGTTTGCGGGTGGAACGCAGACGACATCTTGAGTTTCGTTCCGAGTGTCTTAATGACCTCTTGCCAGAACCGGCTTGTGAAGCGCGGGTCTCGGTCAGACACCATCACACGAGGCAAACCGTGTAAGCGGAAAACGTGTGTCACAAACAACTTTGCCGTATCTTCCGCAGACACGTCAGTCGTCGTGGGCACGAAGTGCACCATTTTGGTCAAGCGATCCACAAACACTAGTATCGCTGTATGGCCATCTCGCGTCTTGGGGAGATCGGTGATAAAATCCATCGATACACTCTCCCAAGGTTCATCGGGAATCTCAAGTGGTTGAAGCAGACCACCAGGCTTCTGTGTGCTCGGCTTGTTCCGTGCACACGTGTCACAGCGAGTTACAAACTGCTGGACCTCAATGCCCAATCCCGGCCACCAGTATACATCACTGAGGGCCCACCGGGTTTTCTTGACACCCAGGTGTCCTCCATACTTAGTGGCGTGCACCTCTGCGAGAATATCATTCCGCAGGTTTCCCACATGTGGGACTACAATTTCTTTCTTGTGCCTCCAGAGCTCATGCTCCCACAAGAGATTGTTTGTATTCTGTGGGTTCTGAAACCAAGGGTCAATATCATACCCTGCGCGGATGCGTTTCAGAAAACCACCAAAGGCAATCTCGCTCACTCGAGCAGCTGCGAGGATGTTGAAACAAGCAGCAAACACAGCTTCATGTTCCTTATCATCAACACCCGTTGCTGCCCCAATCGGCTGTCTGCTCAGAGGATCAGCCATTTTCGTCGAGCCCGCTCGATATCGAATATCGTAGGTGAACCCACTCAGGAGTTCAGCCCATCGAGCTTGACGGCGGGTGAGTGTGGCTTGAGTGGCAAAATAGGTGTTCGGACAGTGGTCGGTCGTGACCACAAAGTCAACACCTTCGAGATAACATCTCCATGTTCGTAGCGCATGCACAACCGCCAACAATTCTTGTTCGGAAGTTGTATAGCGCTGCTCAGCCGGTGAAAGCTTTCTACTCTCAAATGCCACGGGGCGTCCTTCTTGCAAAAGAACTGCTCCAATCCCTACTGTCGAGGCATCAGTTACCACCTCGTAGGGCTTGGACGGGTCTGGCAAAGCCAGCACTGGAGCATTGGTCAGCATGGTTTTCACCTCCTCAAATGCCTTCTGGCATTGATCGGTCCACTGCCAAGCATTACCCTTACGAGTGAGGGCAGTCAGTGGGGCGACTACGGAGGAATAATTTTCCAAGAAACGGCGAAAATAGTTCGCAAGTCCAAGAAATGATCTGGCCTGTCCCACGTCCTGTGGAACGGGCCACTGTTGGACTGCCGCCACTTTCTTTGGATCAACTTTGAGGCCATCGTTGCCTACCAAGTGACCAAGGTATTCCAACTCGCGTTTGTAGAAGTGACACTTCCACAATCGAGCAAAGAATTTATGCTCTCGCAGTTTTCCTAACACCCATTTCAGGTGTTGCGTGTGTTCTTCTTCGGTCTTCGAGTACACGAGGATGTCATCCAAGTATACCAGGACGAATTGGCCGATTGCCTCCCGAAACACATCATTCATTGCTCGCTGAAATGACGCGGGAGCATTTGTCAAGCCAAAACTTAACACACGCCACTGAAAATGCCCGAACGGCGTTCTGAAAGCCGTTTTTGGAACATCTTCTTCGGTGATTCGTAGCTGATGATACCCCTGAGCTAAGTCCAGCGCACTGAACCACTGAGCTCCCTGGAGCCGATCGAACAGATCCTCAATTTGTGGTAGAGGGTATCTGTTCTTCACCGTAATCTTGTTCAAGGCACGATAATCTACGCACATGCGTAATCCTCCGCCCTTGTTAACGAACAAAATTGGTGCTCCGTAAGGGGATGCACTGGGTTCAATCCATCCTTTTCTGAGGTATTCCTCGATCTGTTGTTTGGCCTCTTCGTACTCAGCTGGACTGAGGCGATACAGAGGTCGAAAGGGTGGAACCTTTCCTGGTTCAACAGGGATGGTGTGACCCACTGCGCGGTCAAGCGGAAGTCCATCAGGGATGGTTTCAAACACTTCCTTGAATTCCTCTGCCAGTATTTTCATTTGAGGAGGGAAATCCTCAATTGCTGGCTCCGAGGCCTCGACATTCTCAAGCTGTACCATGAATAGTGTATCAGCCGACTTAACAGAATGCCCGAATTGGTTGGCCAACACACACAGCGCGCTGGGACGTTCAGGCGTCTGTGTTTCAGTGGGCAAAGTATCATTGACTTGCCACTGGATTGCCTTTCCGTTCTTGTTGAACGAGACAATGTTGTACTGGAAGTCCAGAATAACTTCGTTGGCTCTCAACCAATCCATGCCCAGGATGAGGTCGACTCCTGACAAAAGTGGTAGGACATATACGCGAACTGTTTCGCTATAGTCCTGTACTTTCATGTCGATATGTGTCTGTCCTTTACTTGGAATGGCACGATCGTCACCCAAGCGGATGAGACACGACGGTCCTACAACGAGGACGTTGCGTGTCGTAACCCAAGTTTCATCAACAAGGGAAACCGACGCGCCTGTATCGACGAGAATCCTTGCTTCGTCCCCATTCATGCGTCCAGATAACAGTAGATTCTGTTGAAATCTTGGACGGATGGGACAAGCGACAACAAGTTTTGGAGGTCGAAAGTACACCCTAAATTTGTTGTGAGCGCGTCCAAACCTTTGGGATGTGGTCCACCAAACATGGTGCCCCTTGTCCCATGTTGCCAGGATATGCCATTCGTGAAATCGGCGGAACAACTCTCCTTTCACGATTCGAGTCACCAATCCCACTGACGTGAGCGGGTGCTCTTGGACACAACGGTCCACAATATCCATGATTGCTGGCAACTCGTTGAACGAGCAAGAGATGATTGAAAATTTATCTCTCAAGGATTCAATTGAGATGTTTTCAAGTGGGTATGATCGAGTTTTAAAAACAGATTTTTCATTCATAGAAGAGGCATACAAACAAGCGATTTTGCATGATGCAAGCTTCTCTAGCTTTAGCAAATCCTCATCACGAAGGACATAAGCCTCATCTACTCGATCTCGCTCACCAACTAGGTACCCACACCCTAGTTGGACTTCGGAAAATCCTTCGGGCCCGAAGGGCCAGAACCATCCGGCTTCTTGCCCTGGTTGGGCTTGCCGGAGTTCTTGACGGACTTCCTCCAACGGCAGTGATAGGACTTGTGCCCGAGCTTGCCACAGATGCGGCAGCCTGCCGGGGGCTTATCCTCATCCTGAGGATCATTGGCAGGCCCAGCATGGGCCCTCTTGGACTGAGTCCCAGAGGATTCCCCCTTCTGCTGATAGGGCCTCTTCCAAGAGCCACTGCCCCTGTGTGCCTGAGTCCTGTTACCACCCCCCCTAGGGCCTTCGGCACTAGGCTGCTGCTGAGCACGAGCGTGAGTCATGTACGCACGGAAATTCACATCCGTGTCAATGACCTGCTCCTTGCACTCCTTGTAGGTCCTCCACTGGTGCTCCCCGCGCACAACATGCACACGCTTGATGTGCTCAGGGAGACCCTTGAAGAACTGGTGGATGACCTCGCTCTCAGGAAGAGCAGTCTTCAGCAGCGACAGAGTTTTCTCAAACTCCTTGGCGTACTCGCGTACAGGCTGGTCACCGCACTGGATGTTCTCCAGGCGGCTACGCACCTCGAGCGCCGGGGGCTGACTCAGGAATGCCGCCAGCATGGCAGCTTTGAACTCCTCCCAGCCAAAAGGATGGCCATTAGCCTCTGCGTGGCGCTTGTTGGCATACACCAACTTGCTCGCAGTGTCGTCCAGGGCAAGGGTTGCAGCGACCACACGAGCCTCGCTACGCACATTGTGGATGGACATAAAGTCCTCCGCAATGGAGAGCCAAGTCTCGACGTCGGTCTTGCCATGGACAAAACGAGGCAGGGCCGAAGGGCAGGAGCCAAAGGCAGTTGCTGCTGCAGTAGGAGGCTCAGCACGTGCTCCAGTAGGAGGAGGAACAGCAGGAGGTGCATCAGCAAGTGCAGCACGGCTGTTAGCGGCGTTGGCGACTCGCTCTGCTGCAGGAGCAGGCTGGTAGAGGTTTCCACGTCGGATCTCCCTGTACTGGGTCTGAAGCACAGAGATGCTTTTCTCCTGCTTCTTGAGCTGATCCTGCACGAACTGAAGAGTGTTGTGCAGGTCCTGAATGAGGCTGGAGGTGTCGTTTTCCTTAGGGATCAACTGCACCTCCCTGGTCAGCTGCTCAATCAAGGCCTGAAGCTTAACAGAATCAGCCTCCAAGTTCTGGATACGACACTGTTGCACTCCAATGAGAATATTCTGCTCCGTGAGTTGAGTCTGGAGCTTGACAGCAATGTTCTCAGTTTCATTGGAAGCACCCTCATCTTAGCCAGCCTCTTCCTCATTTTCAGCATCAGCCTCAAGGTCAGCTTCACTTCCATTGATCTCCATGTCAACCACGAAATCCTCAAGGTTGAGATCAATGTCAGCAGCAGCAGCAGCATTATCTCCCTCAGTGCCAACAACGGGCACCTCCTTAGTAGCATCCATCTCTTGACCAAAAGCCATGAAACAGGTTAAGGAGAGGAGATCTCAACAGATCTTATAATAAGCTTTAAGAAATCTGATTACTCTTATAGAATAATCCAATACAGAATCTCTTAAGATAGACTTGTTTGCCAAATCTCTCTATCACCTCAATGATAGAGCAAGATATACTCAAGAGAGTAATCCTCAACAAGCCCTTTATAGATCTGAAGGTACACTCTTCTACACAAAGTAGATCAAGAGTCTTCCACCAAAGGTGGGTAAGAGAAATTAATCTCTTCAAATTTCTTCTCAATGTTGATGAAGAAAAATGAGCTCCTTGTAGATCTTGAAGCTCCAATGGTGTGTTGAGGAGATTGAAGCTTGAAGCTTGGAGATCTTGTAGAAGCTTTTGTAGATATTGAAGAACCACTTGTAGATCTTGAAATTTCTTCAAAATCTTCAAAGATCTTGATAGCTCCTTGGATGAAATCCTGGATCCACAAGCTAGGATCCTCTAAAAAAAAAATAGTCCAAGTAGCAAATGGCCACACAAGGCCAAGGAAGAACCTTGCTCTAGATACCAATGTAATGCCCAGGGCTATTATAATGGCGGTTACAAGGCTTTTATAATATTCCAATACAAAATAGTAGCTTTAACTAGCCTTAATAGCCTTGGAGATGAAGATCTTCTTGATGCATTTGATGAAAAGCACTTGGAGTAGTAGTGTAGGGAGACTTGTGAGAGAGCCCAAAAGGACTTAGAGAAACAATCCCATTTCCAATTGTTTTGTTGGAGTGGGAGGTTGAGAATGAGCTTGCTTAGCTCAGACCCCCTCAATACACCCCTTGGGGAACTATCCCAACCATGGTTTCCATGGTGGGATGGTTCCTAGGCTTGGAGCCTATGTGGCAATTGTGTTGAGTTGGAAAACCCAACTTAGAACCATTCAATGGTTGTGTTTAGGATAGAGTAGATTGTAACACTTGTTTGGCAGTTTCTGATTGGTTGGAATTCCAACCTTCAACATTCTCTTGGTTGAGTTGGAAATGTTCCAAACCTGAAAACCCAACTTAGAACCATTCAATGGTTGTGTTTAGGATAGAGTAGATTGTAACACTTGTTTGGCAGTTTCTGATTGGTTGGAATTCCAACCTTCAACATTCTCTTGGTTGAGTTGGAAATGTTCCAAACCTCCAAAGGTGAGGCTTGGCAAACCCAAACCAAGTTTCATCCCAACCAACTCAACCATCTTCTCCAACTCTTCCTTTGTCGAGAGAAGTTCTCAACAATTGACTTAGAGATAGATCAATGGTTGTTAGCTCGGTAGTTAGGGTAATACGTTACATTGGCAGATCTGTGTGCCCACGTTGATCCCTCCGTGCGGCCGTCTGTGCATGGAAGCAGTCATCGCCGTCTCGCCACTGCTCGTTACTACCCCCACCCTGCGCTCGTCCGCCGAGTGCCGGTGGTCCGTCGCGTCGCCCCCTCTTGTTCGCAGTCGCGAATCTCATCGTCGGTGGGGCCTTGCGTCCCCATTGTTCCCATTCCGCTCGTGCTCGCCGCAGCCATCAGCGGCACGCAGGCCTAATTTGATTTCCTCACCAATCGCCGCAATGAAGTCTGCGCGAGCAGCGCAGTTGACGGCGGGGAAGGCACTGGTGGTGGTGGGGTCGGCGAACGCGGACGTGTACGTGGAGGTGGCGCGCATGCCGCTGGCGGGCGAGACGGTGAGCGCCACCTCGGGCTGCACGCTGCCCGGCGGCAAGGGCGCCAACCAGGCCGCGGCGGGCGCCCGCCTGGGGCATCCCACGTACCTCATCGGACAGGTGAGAGGGCGCGACGTGTCACACGCATTCACGTGCTGCTGCCACTAGGCTCGCGCTCGCTTACTCCGTTCCAGTCCTCACTCCGTCCCTCCCTCTCTCCCTCTCTTCCTCGCTCTTTGCTTGCTCGCCGCCCGCGTGTCTCGGCGCGTGCGACTGGCAGGTGGGCAGCGACGCGAACGGCGCCATGCTGTCGGCAGCGCTGGCAAGCACGGGCGTGCACGTGGACCACCTGGTCACGCTAGGCGCGCCCGCCTCCGCCTCGTCCTCCGCCGCCATGACGTCCGCGCACCCCAGCGTGGTGGCCGCCAACGCCGCCAAGGCGGAGGCCGAGGCAGCCCTGGGGCAGGCGCATGCGGCGGCGCAACGAGCGCAGCTGGCTGCGGCGACGGCAAGCCGGGAGGCACAGGCTGCTGCTGGCGGTAACTTCCGCACAGGGGCTGCGAGCGCTGCTGCGGCCACTGCACAGGCGGAGGCAGAGGCAGCAGCTGCAGCACAAAGAGCGGCGTCGGCGGCAGCACGGGCTGCTGCAGAGGCAGCGGCAGCAGCGGACGGACAGAGTGAGGCTGCTGCAAGGGGGGCGGCCGCTGCCGCTGCTTCTGCTGCGACTGCGGCTGCTAACATGGCAGGGGGCGGTGGAGAAGGGAGTGTGGCAACAGGGCAGGCGATAGTGATGCTGCAGGCGGACGGCAGCAACGCCATCATCATTGTGGGCGGGGCGAACATGGCGTGGAGCAAGAGGCGCGTGGAGGGCAGGGGTGGGGGGCGCCGGGAGTCGTTCTTCAGCGAGCAGGCGAGGGAGGCGATCCGCGGGGCGGGCATGGTGCTGCTGCAGAGGGAGCTGCCGGATGACGTCAACGCTGAAGCTGCGGAGGTGCGTGGGATTGGTTGCGCGTGTCAAGGGGCGGGAGTGAGAGTGCAGTGGTACGCACGGAAAGGTGGAAACCGAGTTTGTTCCAGTGGCACAGCATCGTGTCTTGCGTCAGAGTCGCTGCCTGTGTGTGACGCGTGTGTCCTCGCCCCCATCACTCGCTCTCCCTGTTCCGAATGCAGCTGGCAGGTGCAGCGGGAGTACCAGTGGTGGTGGACATGGGGGGCATGGACGGGCCTCTACCAGACGTCATGGTGCGGCGCGTGGCAGTGATGAGCCCCAACGAGACGGAGCTGTCTCGCCTCACAGGCCTGCCCGTCTCCTCCATCCCCGACGCTGAGAAGGCTGCTCTCACCCTGCTGGCCAAGGTGCGGCGCACAAATGCTGGGATGGCATGCTGTCACGGGTTAGCAGAGAGTACCTTTGTGCTAATTCATTTAGTGGCTATGCTATGCCATGCCAAGTCCCTATGGCGTTAATATCGTCCGTGCTGTACTCACTTGTGCGCCCCACTGCTGCTTCCCGCTGTGCCCAACGCTCCTCAAACCTGTACCAGGGAGTGCCCAAGGTGCTGGTGAAGCTGGGCAGCAGTGGCTCCCTGCTCGTGTCCTCCTCCCCTCTCGCACCCGCCTCCTCCTCCTCGCCCCTCTCTGCTACTCTCACCACGGGCACGGATGGCTCGGGGCGTCATGTGTGGCAGCTGCGGCAGCCAGTGGTGCCGGCACGCATAGTGGTGGACACAACAGGGGCCGGCGATACCTTCACCGCTGCATATGCCGTGGCACTGCTGTCCGGCTCCTCTGATGCTGATGCGCTGCTATTCGCCTGTGAGTCCATTGAAAGGTGGTCGAATTGTGGGGGGAGCGGGGGGAGGGAAGGTGTAGGGTAAGGCATTGGCTTTCAGCACATCTATTTGAGTCGTCTGGGTTGTCCGCTGTGCACCACTAAATTGCGATTCTGACCTTGGTCTGATTCATGGCTCCTGTGCTTGACCCATGCAGCCTGTGCTTCTTCGCTGTGTGTACAAAAGAAGGGAGCCATGCCAAGCCTCCCAGATCGGGCCGCGGTGCAAGCTTTGGTGCAGCAATCGCAGAACTCTTGGTGACTCCGCTTGTGGGACCAGCTCAAAGCTAAACACGGGACCTTGTGACCTTGCTACACATTAATGTGTACATCGTATTGCCCTCTGCTAGTGAGTGGCATCACGGAAGGAAGACTTGCTCAACAAGTGAATTTATTAGTTAGACTCTTGAATCGTTTGTTATTGTTGGATCGCGCTGGGGCTTGTGAGCTCCTAATGAAGTACACCTAGTCCGCGGTATTTTAACCGCCGCTATCTTAACCGCGCGAGGGTACTTCTCCTTGGTCAAACTTTTTTATACGAGTAGTTTTGAAGTTTATTGAGGGTAGAATATAGCATACCCTTTGTGAGGCGACGGCAGTCAAAACATGGTCAATGCCGATCCGCCCTCTATTTCGGAGCACTAAGTGTGAGTTTCTTTAGAAGTAAATGCTTCTGGCTGCGAAACAATAGTCTTAAAGTCTCTGGGTGCCCATCTCATTACCCGAAAATGAACAAAGGGTGTTTGAAGCAAAACAGTTTACGTGGTTAAAATACCGCGGACTAGGTGTACAATTGAAACTGCTACCGAGTCAGTCTGCTGGGAAGTGTGTTGGGCGAGAATCATTGCGGTGTGGTACTTGGGTGCGGGTTACCCGATCTGGACGTGCTGTCACACCTGCGAGCTACGACAACATTCGCAACGCAACGTGCAGATCTGTTGGTTCGTTTGTGCATGTCGTTCCCAGCCTTCCCGTCCATCCATCTCCGCCTTTCCGTGCTGCCCTTCCCCCTCCTCCACCCAACCTGTCCACTGCGCCTCCCCCGTCCCTCTGCCGCGCAAAGGCAGTGATGCTGGTGTGCGTGCAGCACGGTTGCAGAGGTAGCGTTGGCTGCGCAAGCCAGGCGAAGTGGAGCACACACAAACGACACCACCAACTCCCCAAACAACCATCTGCTGTAGTGTTGCAATACCCAGCTCACTTCTGTCGACCCCTCCAGCCGCATTCACTTGTGCCTTCGCCGCGCGACATCCATTGCCATATTTTGCCGCCAGTCGACAATCTGCGCGAAGCGTCTTCCCCACTGCATATTTCCGCAATGACTGCCGCCATGCCAGCGTCATCCCTCGACCCGCCCGCTCGCCGCTGGTCCTTCGCGCCCACTGCCGTCTTGACCTGCTGCTTCTCCGCCCCGCATGCGGACCGGGAATGCGCGGAAAATCACGGTAAACCGCAGCGAGCGGTGACGTCATTGGATGCAGGTGTTGCAGTGTGCGATTCATCGGCGCATGCCCATGACCGCGAGGATCGCAACATCGCATGTGCCCAATCATACAACACTCACAGCGTCGGAGCAAACGGTATCCGCAAATTCGATGACAGCAGCTCGGAGACTTCAGATGCCAAAGGCACTGTCGGCTCGCGTTGCCCTGCGCCTCATGCGGACGCCAGGCGTAGCGGCTCTGCCGGAGCCGGATCCGGAAAATGCGCCGACGGGCTCGCCGGTGAGGGCGGTCGGAGCCGGCTCTCCCGCTTGCTGTCCTCGATCCGCCGCAAGCGCCGCCGGCAGCCAGGCTCGCTGGGGGGACAGCAGCACCACGGCGGGCAACGCGACGCGGAAAGGAGGGTGGGAGGGGAGGGCGGAGAGCCGGCGCCTGGTCCAGACGAGGCGCGGGACGTGTGGGAGGCGGCGGAGACCGGTGGGCTGAGCGCGTGGGTGGTGCCCGCCGTGGCGGCGGCGAACGCAGCGACGGCTGCGCTGGGCGACCTTGTTATGGGCGGTGGGCGCTTCTGCTTCCCGTCCCACCGGACCTTCCCCCCGCGCACATCACTGAGCCGCTCCCGCAGCGTCAGTAGCGCCCACGATGCCGCGGCGGATAGTTCGCGGAGCCGCGGAAGCGTGTTGGGGCGGAACGCCAGCCTTGAGCGAAATGCGGGTGGCGAATCCGCGCGTGCTGGCGCAAGCCAAGGGGGAGGCGCAGAGACAGGCGACTGGGAGAAGAGCGAGAGGCGCGGCACAGACGCGCCTCAAGAAAGCGGAGCGCGCGAGGATTCGACGTGGGAGGTTGAAGGGCAGTCGACGGCGGCCGCGGATAGCGAAGGCCGTGAGGAGGAGGGGGTGACGCGTGGAGGGCAGGAGGGGGCGATCTGCGATGGTGACGCGGGCGCGGATGCGGACGAGGGTGGGAATGCGCTGAGAGCTGCTGAGATGGGCTCGGACGGGCCTGCGGGAGGGGGTAGCACGTGCCAAGCTAGGGACGCGGAGGAGTGCGGGGACGGGGAGAACGCGTCGGCAGCGGGTCTAGAGAAGCGCTTGCTTCCGCAGGAGGCGAAAGGGGAGGGGGAAGGTAGCGAGGAGAGTAAAGCGGGCAGGAATGGGATCACGGGTGGTGCGTTGGAGGGCAGTGCTGGCGCGGCTACTAGCAACGGCGCGAGGCGGGCGGGCAAGCCGGTGAATCGCGCGTGGCACCACAGGGGCGCGTCGGAGGGCGAGGGTGCGAGCGCGCGCCCCTCCTCCAGCGGTGGTGCCGTCAGCGCTTCCCCCATGCCTCCCCTGCCGCCCCGGCCACAAACGTCCGCAGTGGCGAGGGATGGGAAGGGCGGAGGAGAAGGGGCGCGGGCAATACAGGGCGGGGGAGATGTGCAGGTGCTGCGGATGGAGTGGGGGAGTGGCGGAGAGGCGGGGTGGGTAGTGAGGCACGGGCGACAGCAGCGCAGGCAGCTGCAGGCACAACAGGAGGAGGAGGAGGAGGAGGCGCATGTGGAGGAGAGCGAGGAGGTGCATGCGGTGGGTGAGGGCTCGACACACTCGCATGCCAGTGCGAGTGGCAGTGGGGGCCGGCATGGTGCAGGTGGCGTTGACACGGCAGCGGGGAGCGGTGGTGGCAGCAGCAGGATGAAGGCGGGGTGGGGAGGGGATGGCAGGGAAGCATGTGTGCGGCATGCGCGGTCGCGGTCCATGGCAGTGAGCCTGCCGTCCTCCTCCACGCTCGTCCACGTGCACCCGTTCCAGCAACGCGTTCGCATGTTCACCACCGCCTCCACATCCCCCTCCGTGCACGCTCCCCCCACGCTCACTGCCTCCGCTGCCCAGCTGCCTGCTGACCGCGCGTGTGTGCGCTCACTTGGTGCGCGGCCGAGCACTGAAGGGTGGCCGGAGCACACAGCGGAGGCTGGAGCACCCATGCTGCAGGCGTCGCCGCGAGTGCAGATGCTGCAGCGCCCCCATTCCGCTGGTGGGCGGCGCCCCAACTGCAGCTGCCTGAGCTGCAGCGGTGGCAGCGGTGGTGCCATGCATCATAGCGCTGCCCCCCTCGCTCCTTGCACTCGCGACTGCAGCGATGACAGGAGCGCACCGCACAGTCAGCCGTGGGGCGACAGCGGGCAAGCACTCGAGCCACCCTCTGCGTACGAGGGCTCTGGGCTCCCTGCTCTCGATGCAGGTGCTGACAGCCTGGTGCCATTGGCCCCATGCTCCCCTGTTCACAGCAGAGGTGCAGTGCCACGGAGTGCCAGTGGCAGTGCTGGTCGCAGCAACATACTGAGGAGCAGCAGTGGGAGCAGTGCCGCCAGGCCCGTGCGCCGGGTTGCAGAGAGTGACGCGCACAGCACCAACTCCCCAACCACCTTCCACGGGTCCCCTGCCCCAACCAATCGCAGCCCCATGCGCCCCCCCCTGGCTGCCGTCCCTTGGGAGCAGGGAGTGGCGGGTGGCGGAAGATCAGGGGTGGCACAGTCAGGCGTGGGCAGGCCGGGCAGGACGAGGAAGGTGAGGCGGTGGGCGAGTGAGGACTTCAGGGATGCCATGGCCGTGGGGCAGTCGCCAGGCAGTATGCCGCAGGCGGGGGGGAGGGAGGCAGGGAGTGGGAGCGAGAGGGAGGCGGGCACGGTAAGAAGTAGTGCCCCGTGGGCCAGCAGAGGGCAGGGCATGGACAGTGCGGGGGAGTTGATGCAGGAGTCTGAGTGGATGGGGGAGGAGAGGGGGTCAAGGTGGGCAGTGGAGGGGTTTGGATCTCCAGTGGGCAGTGGTGATGAGGCTAGGGAGCACATGGGCAGAGAGCAGGAGCGGAGGATGAGAAGGAGGGGGGTAGGGCAGAGGGTATCACGAGAGAGGGCGACAGGGGTGGTAGATGACTGGGAGGACCCCGAGTGCAGAAATGTAGGGAGTGGGGATGTAGAGAATGGGGGCGGCAGTGGGCATGCGAGGGTAGGGGCAGGTCCTCGGGTTGTAGGCAGCAGGCGGCTTCAGAAGCACAGGTCAGCGCCCATCAAGAGCCTTGAGCACGTGGTGGTGGGTAAGATGGCCGGAGGAGGCGATGGTGATGGTGATGGTGGTGGTGTGAGCATGGGTGTGTGTGTGGATGTAGGTGTGGGGGACATGGATGAGGCAGATTTGGAGTTCATGAGCAACCACTGGCCTCTGCCTGCTTTGCAAGGAAGGGCAAGTCCTCGTGTCTCAGTGCCGAATCAAGCCTTCTAATTATCACTGCTCTAGTTCTTTTCTGGGCAAAGCCTTGCTTCCTTGTCTTGACTTGCACGATTGATTGTATTTAATATATAGTTACCGTATGATGAATGCAGTGTTCAGAATCTTCCAACCGACTTGTTTCCCCAATGAATGAACGCCTTTTGCGTCGGGCAACGCGAGGGCACACGATGAAGTTTCTTTTGAGTAGATCAGAGGAGCATCAAATTGCCGTCACACATCTCACGTCACTCGCCCGAAATCAGCTACCTAGATGTGGTGATGGAGCGCGTGGTGCTATCCGGTGCAACGCTCGCGTCGCTAGTCCATGGATTGGCTGCTGGCGAGACCGATGGACTTCTTCTCGGCCGCCTGGAGCAGCGCACCACAGCTGTATACTCCGACGCGCAGGGCGATGATGGGCAGATTTCGCGCAACGATTTCTGTTTGGTGGTGACTGGATTTCGGTCGGCTGGTCGCGTCTTAAGCTTCTACGATGGAACGGGTACTGTGGACGTCGATCGAGTGCAGCTGCTCCTGGGCTCTTCGGAGAACGAGGGGTTTGGAGTCGCTGGCGACGGCCGGAGGAACACAGTCGCTTCCACCGCTGGATCTTGGGCTGGGCCTCACGAATGTGTCATTGGCTGGTTTGTCCGACGTTCCAATTCCCCCCTTCAGCCGTCTATGCGAGAGGCAGCCGTGACCGCACAGCTTAACGACCTGCGACAAGCCTTGCAGTCTGGTGATAGTCAGAAGCACCAGGCGTCAGAGCTGCGAAATGAAGCGGAACCCGACGGTCACGGAGCATCTGGTTTCAAGCACGCTTGCACGCGCTCACAACGAGACTGGGGGCAATTGGCCCAACTTCCGGACATGTGCATGAAGAGTTGGTTCAGCAAATCAATCCGGCCTATCCTTTGCATCTTCAACTCGCAGTGGGATTCCACCAGATCCACGCATACTACGCACTACCTTGCCTATGCCCTCTCCCCAGAGTTTCCTCCGACTTCCTCTATCTCTGCCACTGTTTTAAACCGTCTTGCGCTTCTGCCTCTCCCGATTTCTGTTGCGAACCTTGGACTCGCGCATCGACCCTCCTTCCCCACCTTCCTTTCCATGGCCCTGCCTCCCGTACAACCGTACCCGCTAAGTAGTGTCGTGAGTTCCACGGCCAGTGACTGCAACTCGCAGCAGTTGCAGTGGGAGGAGTTGCAACACAAGGGTCAACAGCAGGTGGCTGCATTTGAAGCTGTATACGAAGGTACGCTGTCAAGGCTTGAAGCCAGTGCAGCAGCTGCTGCAGACAGCACCGTTGAGCTTGTGTAGATGCAGGGTAGCCTTGTAGGACCCGAACCGTGCATAACAATTATTCAGTGTGAAGATTATTCGCCATGCCACTGCCAGGACAGGAAGCAGCATGTTATGGTAGTAATACCGTGTTCTTCCGGCTATAGGACCCGCTGGTCAAAGGGTCCCCTGGGGGACTCTCTATAGGGGAGTGGGGCTCCTATTTTGATACTGTTTTGTGAGGGACCCCCTTTTGCCCCTAACAGTACAAGACCCCCCTTTCTGTAAATCTCGCAATTGATTTCCTGAAGTCCGTTGGCATTAGACTTGTTTATGATTGAAATTTTGTCTTGGCGTCACGTACAGGAATACTGCCTGAACTAGGGCAAACCCTAGACCAGAAACAAACTGTTGGTACATTCAGCTACACGCCGCGTCACCCCACGACGCGCTCGAACAGAAACCGACCAGATGCATTGCCGTGTTGGTCCAGCAACCTCAGCAGAGTCGGTCAACCACTATGCACTCATCACCCCGTAGCCATGGCCGCGCCTGGAGGCGAGGACGCTGCTGTTGCCGATGGCGACACCTCGTGTAGCCACCTGTTAGAAGAAGTTAGGGCCTAGGGTTTGGGTGCTAGGCAACTGTCGAGAGAAGAAAGGAAAAAAGGGGTATTCACTATAGAAGTGTGGGTACAAATAGGAAAGAGAAGGTGGCACAAGGGGGGGTACACCACCAAGAGAGAACAAGACTATACACTACCTAGTGTACATGCAGTTACATATAACAAATATAAAATCTAACATCCCCCCTTAACTGCATGCACAAGTAGGTAGTGAGAGGCAGGCAAGTGAGGGGGAGGAGGCGAGAGGAGAGGAGAGAAGAGGAGAGGAGGTGGGGGCATGCAGGAGCGCGCACGCTCAATGCCTGGGCACCCGCTTCAAACCTCCTTTTACAAAGGGGGAGGTGAGAGAGGAAAGGGAGAGGAGGTGGGCTAGGTGGGCATGAGCGCGCACGCTCATAGCGACCCCCCCCCGTTAATAACCCCCAAGTCCCCATGAGGAGAGGAGGTGGGCTAGGTGGGCATGAGCGCGCACGCTCATAGCGATCCCCCCCCGTTAATAACCTCCTAGTCCTCACCCCCCTTTTCAGTCAACCCCTTTAACCTCACTCCCTCCGCACCTTTCTACGTCCGCCACCCCCTCACCCTCCTTAACCTCTCTCATCCCCCCTTAACCTCTCTCCTCTTCCCCCCCCCCCCCCCCCCCCCCCCCCCCACAACAACTAGTGCTGCAGGAAGAGAGGAAGAGGGAAGGGAGGGACGAGTTGCTGGCGGTTCACACCCGCCAACCCCACATCTCCCTCCCCCCCCTCACGGCGGGAGCCGCGGAAGGGAAGGAAAGGGAGGGGAAGGGGGAAGGGGGGGGGGGGGGGCGTACGAAGCTGCTGGCGCCGGCGTCCCCCGCTGGCGCAGGCGCTGGCGCTCGCGGATGACGCAGGCGCCGGCGTTTCGCGGCTTGCGCTGGCGCTGGCGCTGGTCGTAGGTGCTGGCGCTGGCGCTTGCGTTCCGCGCTGGCGCAGGTGCGGACGACGGGCAGGGTGACGGGCGCGACGGACGGGCAGGGCGCAGCGGGGGCGCGACGGACGGGCAGGGCGCACGAGGCGCCACGGACGGGCTGGGCGCACGGGGCGCGACAAACGGGCAGGGCGTAGCGAAGGCGCGACGGACGGGCAAGGCGGGAAAAAAAATAGCGCATTTCGCGCTGGAGTACTGCGGGCCCATGTTCCGTGAAGAAATTAGGTCCTTAGACCGTTTTACTGCTCTGTACCATGATAGAATGTTCTTAGTAGTGCCTAGGGTTTGGGTGCTAGGTAACTGTCGAGAAAAGAAAGGAAAAAGGGGTATTCACTATAGAAGTGTGGGTATAAATAGGAAAGAGAAGGTGGCACAAGGGGGGGTACACCACCAAGAGAGAACAAGACTATACACTACCTAGTGTACATGCAGTTACATATAACAAATATGACTTCTAACACCACCTTCCAAGAACTGACCTCGATTTCTTGAAAGACCATGCTTCTCCACCTTCTTTCTAACCTTTGCCCGAGCACTAAGTCGATACTGAAGGATGGCTGCGATGACGGCTGTGTTTGCCGACAAATGCAAAGGAAGCGCATGGATGGATGGATCCATACAGGCGTAGGGAAAAACATCGAACGACCTGAATGTTATTGGATATTCGGGTGGCCCATGCTTATATGAACATATTGGAGCAATTTCAGCTTGGTTCGTCTGCAAAGAAAAGTCTGGCGCCTGCGATGGGGGCTGTGTTTGCCGGGGAAAAGAGTCGAACGACCTGAGTGTTGTTGCTTATACAGGTGGCCCATGGTTAAATACACCTACCAGAGCAATTCCGGCTTGGTTCGCGCGCACAAAAAAGTTCTGTGATGACGGCCGCGACTGCCGACATATGCTAAGGAAGCGCACGGATCCCTATAGGCGTAGGGAAAAGCATCGAACGACCTGATTTTGTAGCTTATTCGGGTGGCCCATGCTTAAGTACATCTACCAGAGCAATTTCGGGTTGGTTCGCGCGCACATAAAAGTTCGGCGCTCGTGATGACGGCCGCGTCTGCCGGCAAATGCTAAAAAAGCGCTCGGATCCCTATAGGCGTAGGGAAAAGAGTCGAACGGCCTGAGTGTTGTTGCTTATACGGATGGCCCATGCTTAATGTCAGAATCAAGAGACAGGAATGATTGACTAGGAAGCAAGGATGAGTACAAGTAGGGCAATGTCTAACCCTAAAGTGTTGTACTCAGTAGAGGCTACCCCACTACAGCCTACAACATAGAAACATAGTTTGACACACCCCCATAGGCAAAGTGGGGGATAGCAAGAACAACCAAAGGTCACGAGACCGGTCAAGCAAGAGAACAAAGCAAAGCAAAGCTCAGGGTGGATCTCAAGATCACCACGCATTCTGAGCACAAGCAAGCGGCCACAAGGCCAGTTCACATGCAGGGGTATATATGCAACAACAACAGCACAGTGATCTCTACCTAGCAGAGCAAGCATGCAGGTATATATAGATCACAGTACAAGCAAAGTCTACAGCAAGGGAGGAAACGTGGGCACAAGGCCTAACAGAGTGCAGAAACGCTGATGATCACCAGACGGAAGCGCCTTGGTGAATATATCAGCAGTGTTGGCCCGTGTGGCCACGTGAGCAAGACGAAGCTGACCACGCTGCTGCAACTCTCGAGCCAGGAAGTAACGCAGAGCGATGTGCTTCGTTCTGTGCTCCAGTCTGTCCTCCTGACACAAGGCAATGGCGGCCTTGTTGTCGACGTACAGCACTGGAGGAGAACGAGGCCGCTCTCCCAAGTCGGTCAGCAGGTAGGTGAGCCAGCGTAACTCCTGTGCAGCCATGGCTGTGGCGTAGATCTCAGCCTCACAACTGGAGCTGAGAACTGAAGACGAGCGTGTAGAACGCCAAGAAACCGAACCAGAGCCAAGGCTGAAGGTGTAACCCTGTGACGACCGCTGCGTAGCCTGGTCGTCAACCCAAGAAGCGTCTGAGTGCCCAGTGAGGACAACGTCGCTCCGTCCTCCAAGTACGAGCCCCATGCCAGATGTACTGCACAAGTAGCGTAGTACCCTCTTAGCAGCATCCATGTGCACCTTTCGGTGCCGACCAGTAGCCACGTAGCGAGCCAGAAGGCCAAGAGGGTACGCAAGGTCAGGACGAGTGCAGGTCATCAGGTACATGAGGCAGCCCACTAGCTCTGGGTAAGGACCACTCGGCTCTACGGACTCGTCCGAAGGTGGAGCTGAGAGCGAGTGACCTGTAGCCAGAGTAGTGTGCTGTGCCGATGACTAGGTGAAGCGGAAGCGCTGAAGGACCTGGTGCACCATGTGTGACTGAGTCAGTGTGATGGTGCGGCGTGCTCTGTCCCGGGTGATCCGCAAGCCAAGATAGCTTGTCAGCTCACCCAGGTCTGTGCACGTGTGTCTCTTCTGCAGCTCCGACTTCACCAGGGCGAGAGCCTCAGTGTCAGCAGTGGCAAAGACCAAGTCGTCGACGTACACGAGGATGTAGAACGGCGGCAGCGAAGTGTCGGTGCGCAGAAACAGCGACGGGTCAGCAGTCGACGGAGCAAACCCAAGAGCCGCAAGTGTCGTCCTCAGTGTGTCGTGCCACTCACGTGGCGCCTGGCGGAGACCGTAGACCGGCCGCCTGAGGCTCCACTGGGTACCAGGAGGGAACGACCCAGTGAAGCCAGGTGGGCGGCGCAGCCAGATCTCCTCGTGCAGGCTGCCCTGTAAGAAGGCTGTGCTGAAGTCAAGAGAGTGAAGCTCGTAGTCACGCTGAGCGGCAACGTGCAGCAGCACCCGAAGAGTGGTCATCTTCGGGGTGGGGGAGAAGGTCTGGAAGAAGTCTACTCCCTCTCGCTGACTGAAACCTCGTGCAACGTAACGCGCCTTGAAGGCAGGCGGAGAACCTGGCGGCCGCTTCACCCTGAAAATCCACATGCCACTGACGATGTTCGCCCCAGGTGGGGGAACCTCGTCGACGTAGGTGCCTGTGGACTTCCAGGATGCCATCTCTGCGTCCATGGCTGTCTGCCACTGAGAGGAGTACTCACCCGCGATCGCCTCAGCGTAAGAGCGCGGGGTCGGGATGTCTGGAGCATCCGGGTCTCCCTCAGGGGCAAGCAGCATGGACACGAGATGAGGCGCAGCGGCTACAAGACACTCAAGGTCCTCCTGCCTGTCCTCAAGGACGTCTGTGCCAAGAGCACACTCACCCCCGACGGACGGAGGACAGACAGACTCAGACTCAGCAACAAGACTAGCGGCGTAGTCTAGACGACAGGCAGCAGCAAAGTCAACAAGCTCAGCAACTAAGGCAGACGTAGCAGCAGACTCAAACGACGGGTCAGTGACAACAGTGGCTAGCAGACGCGTGACAGTAGGGTGCTCAGCACGAAACCGGTCAGACTCGGGGTCCGCAACGACAGGCAGAGAAGACGCAGG